AATGCTACTGTACAAAAATGTCATTTATGTGAATTAAATTTATCCAAGTCTAGAACTGAACTTGTGGTCAGAACCCTGGGATCACTGGGTTTTTGTTTGTTTGATTGATTTTGAGGTAATAGAAGATTCACATGCAGTTGGACCTACTCTTATATTGTGTGCATGTGTATATGGTTAGTCCTGTGCAACTTTACCTCCTGTGCAGGCTCCTATGACCACCCGTCCCGCTTCAGAAAAGTCCCATCACTTCTTCCTGGTGCAGCCACAGCGCCCAACCCCCTGCCCTAACTCCTCAAGATGGTGATCACTTTGGAGCGATGAACAATCATTGACTCACAACATGCAGATCACACTGCCAAGCTCTGGAGGATGGTGACACAAACATAGTCAGATATACAGGCTGGTGACACAAACAGTCAGATATACAGGCCTGGTGGTTCGGAGGAAGGGCGGGAACCAGACTAACTGGGTTCAGATCCAGGGTGTGCCACGGACCAGCTGTGTGACCTTGTCGGGGCTCTCTCTGGGCCAGTTTCTTCAGCGAGTGGGGCTAACAGACCCTCCTAGGGTTGTTCTGAGGCTTCCCCGAGCTGGTGTCGGTCAGATGAGGAGACAGTGCCTGATGGCCACACCTGGGACCTCTGGCCAGAGCAGCCCGTGTCGGGCGAGGTGCTGTCACCGTAAACACACGCAGGGAGGGTGTGGGCGGAGCCTCTGCTCTGCTGGGGAAGACACGCTCACGCTCGCTCACGGGAGGGGAATGTCGGGGTTGAGCTTTGAAGCAGGAGACCTTCACAGAAATGAAAGGGGAGGGGAGATGTTTCATGCAGATAAAACGGGGAGATCTGTGCCCCTGAGGCAGAGCCTGGCATCTGACAGAGAAGCTAACCCCGAGGCTGTGAGGAGGCTGCAGGGCTGGGGAGGGGACACAGGCACAGATGAAGCCAGGCTTTGAGGGGTCCTGAGTTCATACTCTGATTAGCACTGCAGTTGTCAATCCCGGAGAAGACTGGGCAGAGCAGGGAGAAGAAGGAAGGCTGCCTCCCAAACACAGGTGCATCGGGAGGGGAGGGCGATGGCAAGGAGCTTTCTAATCAGGAAACACAAGCAAAGGTGTGTTTAATAATAATCAGGTTATTATTAGTCTGACTAAAACGCCAAGGAGCAGCAACCATGTCTTCAACGTGATCAGTACTTTCCAGAACAAGCGTGTCAAACTCAGAAGCTAACATGGGCCAAATAAAAGAGGCACATGGCAAGTCTGACATGCTTGTTTTCAAAGCATAAAACCAGGAGTGTTCAGGAATTAGTAGTTCTGAGGCTAATTAATCCACAACCTGTGTCTCTCGGCCAGGCCAATGTCCATGGAGGCAGGTGTTTCCAATGCCCTTCCCCCGACCTCAAGCCGCCCTCTGCCAGGATTCCCAAAGGAAGCCGCTGGGCAGGCCTCCTGGGCGCTGGCACCATTGGCTTTGTCCTCACGGTGTTTCCCTCTCACCAATGTTACTATCTCACTCTCTCCTCTACTCTTTGAAATCAATAAAAACATGTTTAAAAAAAAACACAAAAAAACAACTTGAATTTGTTAATAGCCTATCCCAGTGGTCGGCAAACTGCGGCTCATGAGCCACATGCGGCTCTTTGGCCCCTTGAGTGTGGCTCTTCCACGAAATATCTGTGCGATTGAAACTTCGTGGCCCATGCGCAGAAGTCGGTTTTCGGCTCTCAAAAGAAATTTCAATCGTTGTGCTGTTGATAACTGGTTCTGTTGACTAATGAGTTTGCCGACCACTGGCCTAGCCCAAGCCCGAAAATTCAATTATTTGTGTTTAAAAAGGCTTATCAGTCATCTGGCCTTTCGCTTCTTCAGGCTCAGGATGTCCTGGTCCTTGAAGGTTTGGCCCTCCCAGCCTGAGAGGCGCTCCACCTCCTGCTGATTCCCTGGGGCCTTCCCTCCCCCGTTTGCTGTGACAATGATTTCTCTCCCAGGGCCTGCTCAGAAGTCTGCCTGATTTTCACAACCAGATTCTTGCCTCTCTGGTCCAATGACCTGTTACCTTCCACCTACACTTGGGTGTGGCACACAGGACAATAACAAATTTATCCTGTGTTTCTGCTTTGAATTTTTTCTCCATCAGCCACCTTCCTCTGATTCTTTTTCTCCGGGAGGAAGGGCAAAGAATGCTTATTCCACTTCCTTAACCTCATTATGTGGTCTACTCCACTCAGACCGAAAACAATGATCCAGTTTACTTGCAGTAGCATCAGACGGGTTTCTTTTAGTCCTGTTATTCTCATATCCGTGAGAACAAAAAGATATGGGAATAAGTGGCTCTTGCTAAGAGGGAGGGTAGTGTGGTGTACAGTAGGGCTCTGAAAATTAAGACACCAAAAAAAAAGTGAAAATGGAAAAAACCCTCTCCTCTAAACAAGCTTGAGCATATGAACTTCCCTGAAGATCATGAAGATGAAATGTAACCAAATAAGACAGAAATAAATACTCCCATGGACCCTAAAAACAACACCTCTTGTTCTCCCATAAACAGTGTCTCCCTTCCTGACCTTCCTTGGAAGGTGACCTGACAAGGATGATTTCACCAGTGTCATCACAAATACGACACCTTCACAACAAAACACATCAAGACATTCTCTCCTAAGCTTTCTTAGGCCAATTTCCCTTGTAACCATTAAATCAAAATTTCATTTAAACAAATGAAACTATATCATGTATTTTCTTAAAATCACTCAACAGCCAGCCAAGAATATTGAGACAAAGACAACTTAGCCCAGCTGGTGTGGCTCAGTGGTTGGGTGTCGCCAGTTTGATTCTGGTTTGGGGCTCATGCACAGGTTGCAGGCTCCATCCCCAGTAGGGGACATGCAGGAGCAGCCTATCCATGTTTCCCTCTCATTGATGTTTCTATCTCTCTCACCTCTCCCTTCTCTCTCTGAAATCAGTAAAAATATGTTGAATTTGTTAATATCATAGCCCAAGCCCAACAAATTCAATGATTTGTGTTTGAAAAGGCCAACGTCTTCAATCCTCTAAGCCCTGGAGTGAAGCCTTTTGTACAACTAGACCCTGTGTCTTTCCATGTTTGGTGGCAAGATGGTGCCCAGGCCACAGATGACCCAAGTCTGCTTTTCTGACTTCCCCCAGGCGGAGGGCAGCCAGACAGTGAGAGGAAATACAACATTAATGATGGCAGAAAAGAATGATATATTCTTTGTCAATTCTCGTGGGAGGATACTTTTCCCAGTGATTGTAGAGTAGAAGGGAAGGAGGGAGGTGTGGGAGAAACATCAATGTGAGAGAGATACATGGACTGGTCGCCTCCCAAATGGGGCCGGGGATTGAACCTACAACCCAGGTACGCAACCTTGACTGGGAATTAAACCTGTGACCCTTCAGTGGGAAAGCTGATGCTCTAATCACTGAGCAACACTGGCCAGGGCAAAAATGACTTATTCTTAATTGAATGCGATAGGATCATCTAAGAAGTTAATCGTGCCCTGTTGGTGGCAGCAGACACCTCAATGAAGGACAGAGGTCATTCCTTCCCCCACACAGGCCCCCACCATCCATTCCCAACCTCCCATTCCCAGGCTGGTTTTAATCAGCTTTCTTTCTGCAAAGTCAATGAAAATCACCTGAGGGGCTTGTTACAAGGGTCATTTCTGGGTGCCACTGGACCTACCAATTAACATGGCTGGGGCTGGGGCCTGGAAGCCACATTTTAAACTAAGTCCTTAAGAAATGCTATTCCAGTGGGTTCGGGGAACCCTCTGCTGAGAAACACTTGAGTAAAAGAAACAAGGGAACTGGGCTATTTGGGCATAGGATGAGGGGAGCCCAGGATTCAAAAAAGGACCAGACCTTGGGAGGCAGGGGGCTAGGCCTGGCTTTAGCCTTCAGCTCATCCTCCTGTGTGTCCTCTCCAAGGACTCTCCTGCCCCCTGGCCCTCAGGCTGGTCCACCAGACGTTCCTGCTCCCCATGCCCCTTCTGAGCTGTGCATCCTTCCAGCTCACGCCCACACCGCACTGACGCGGCCCCTTGTGTTACATTTCTAACCTCTCCGCAGTAGGCTGCTGCAGGCAGTGAGAGACCTATGCGCAGTGCCTGGCACACAGTAGGTGTCCTAAAATGCTTAGCAAGCAGACTCTTGTGTTCCCTTCACAACCGTGTCACCATCAGCTGGACCCAATTTTCCACACGGAAAGTTGGGAGTCCACGCCTTGCTCACGTGGCCCAGATGCTTGGTTTCTAGCTGAGGAGCTGGCACCGTTTCTAAACCCCTCGTTCACCAGCGGGCATTGCAGGGTCAGGATGAAACATCAGAAGCCAGAGCTTTTGACTATATTGTCACAAGTTAATCCGTTTGAATGTTTTGTTTCAGGAAGAACTAAAGCTCTCTCACACTCCGCCCACAGGCGGAGCCCCTGGAAGGAGCTGAAGGCGCAGGAAACGCACCACCAGGTGATTCTGGTTCTGTCCCTCGTGTCCTAACGCACAACACCTGAGGCCCGGTCGCCAGCCCCCAGCTGCCATTCCCCACCCCCGGCCGGCCTCCCACGCAGGGGCAGACGGAGGAACCGTTATCCAAATTTTAAATCTGAAACATTTTATAACGAAGGCAAGGACTGTCCACCCAGGGGCAATCCCTTTGTGAGGGCTCCTTTGTGAGACGCCCCTTCCTTCTCCAAGAATGAAACCCACCCCTGTGCGGGCGCCTGGACACGGAGCCTGGGCGCCCAGTGCCTCCCCGGTCACCCGCCTGTGCCTGGAGGCCACCCCCGGCCGCCACCGCTGGCTCACCTTGCAGCGCGGGCCAATGCAGGATCTTGGGGCTCATCAGCCTGAGGGTGGGGAACCCGGAGGAGGAACAGCCCAGCGTTGGGAGTCCTCTGCTGAGTGGCTCCAGCAGCCACCCTCACAGGTCACAAGGAAGGGCTGGCTGTGTCGGGACTCAAGCCACGACCAGGCCCATGACCGAAGCCATGGCCAAGTGTCATGAGTGTCAGCGGCCTGGCCAGTCCCCAGGGCCGGAAGCCAGTCTCTCCAACCCCGCAGCCGCTCAGGCCCGCCCCCGCCCCGCGTGGGGCGCTATATCCACGGGGAGGGGAGGGAGGGCGCCGCACGAGGCCGCACCTGGGCTCAGGGCCCGGCCCAGCCTGGGCCTCCCCGCCCTGCAGCTGCCCCCGCACCGGCTCCGGGAGGGCCCCTCCCCGGCGGACGGCGGGGCGCAGGCCCGGCTCCCCGCACCCGTGCGCGCTGCGCACACCTGTCCGCCCGCCCGCGAGGCTTCATTAGGCCGCGCCTGTGCAGCCCGCCGGCCCCGCCGCGGCGTCCAGGCCATGGAACCCACCGAGGAGCCCCGCCAGGATCCGCGGGGTGAGCCGGGGCGGGGGGCGGGCTAGGGGCTAAGTGGCTCCCACCTGAGGAGGCTCTTCAGGAGAGGGGAGAGGGAGGCCGAGCGCTGCGCCCCACTCCACCGGGTCCCCAGCTCTCTGCACGCGGAGAAAAGTGAGGGCCGGAGCCCCAGGACTTTCTAGTCCAGGTCCCAACACCCGTCACCATTCTTACCTGATACGTGGCATTTATTGAGCACCTACTATATACAGGTGTGCTGGGCTGCCAGCTCTCCTAAAGTGCTGCAAAACCAGCACGCTCCGGGAAAGCCATTCCTTAAAGCATTCTATCTCTTTCAATTTCACCAGAATAACAATAGCACTAAGTCACTAGTTAGTATGCATTTGTAAACATTCCAGTTTATTTGGAAACGATGAAGCAGCACCTTGAGCAGAGGATTCTGGGGGTTCTGAGTAATGGGGATGTGGTGGGGAGGGTTTGGGGGGTGGGAGGGCTGTGCTTAGGTTAGGAGCACTTGCCCTATGATCTGGGCAAATTACTCACCTTCTTATCCATGTTCCCGTGAGATGTGCCTCTCTTGCAGGAGTAGATGCACAGAACCAGGCCACTGGTCTATGGAAGGTGCTGGCACAGGGCCTGGGCACACCTGGAGAACAGGCAGACTCAGGACAGGTGGCCGGGCTCAGAGAGGGTCCACAGAGTCACCCTCCCTCTCGTGTGTGAGGCAGCGCCTGGGCCTGGCCCCCTGGGGAGGTTCCGCTTGCCGGGGAAGGACAGGGGTATGGATAGATGTGAGGAGGGCTGGCAGGGCAGAGTGCCTTCTGTGGAAGGTGAGGGGTCGTTCCAGTCGTCTCCTTTGCCGTCCAACGCTGCCCTGGCCCTGCTCTAAGACATAATGTTTGAATCTACAGCAGGAACAAAAGCTCATTTTAGAAACGAGCCCAGTCTGCCCCAACCCCAACATCTGTCCCTTAGAAACGCTGAACAGTTGCGTTTCTGTTCAAACTCACCATCCAGGTGCCCGGAAACTAGCAGGGCGCTCACGGGAAGTTAGTCCCCCTGTTAGGAGACCCTCTACCATCTGTAGGTGAGCCAAGGCTCTTAGAGTTGCAGACAACCCTTAAAGCAGTGGCTCCTCTACTTTGATCTCACAATAGCCAGGTTAGGAAGGTGTGCCTGGAGCCAGTTCTGTACCTGGACACATTCAAGCGTAAGCTCAAACCAGAAACCAGTTACAGCGCTGGCTCCCCACAGGCCAGGAAGGTGGAGGCAAGCCCCTGGCTGCGGGGTCGGAGAAGGAAGGACCACCGCGGAGTCCAGCCCCTGCCACTCAGGATGGCCCACGTGGGCAGCCGCCCTCCTCCTGCGCTCTCTCGGGAGAGAAGACACCCCCGCAGGCCCCCAACTGCCAGCCACCAGGCTCTGTCCACAAAGACAGAACTCTGGTCCCGCCCCGACCCCAGCCTCCGGGAGACGGGGGTTCCGTCCCCAGGAGAGAGGCCAAGGCGGGGAAGCGGTCCTTCTCTCCGAGCTCCGGGAAGCAGAAGAAGTCTGCCGCCCTGGGTCCAGTTTCCACGTCACCGCCCCACGTCACTAACTCAGCCCGTGACCCCAACAACCCAGGGCCCTGTGGGTCAGGCAGGGGGCCTTGCCATCTGGCCAACCTCCTCAGCACATTGGCCCAGAACAGCCAAAACACAGACCAAAAGAAGCCCTTGGAAGCAACCTGCCAAGTTCGGAAAAAGACTCGAACCCTGTACCGCTCAGGTGAGCCCTGAGGGAGAGTAAGCCTGAGGTCTGGTGTCATCTCTGGGAAAGTGCGCTCAGCAGGAAGCGTGACCAGGGGACTGGAGGGTGGTGAGCTTGCACACTGCCTGTCCTGGACCCTTGGCCTTGGCATTGGTGGGGCCACGGCCCCTCAGGGGTGGGGGGTAAGGGGCTAGGGCTGCATCAGAAAGTGAAATTGAAAACCGGTTGGAAAGGTTAGTTCCCACCTCCAAGCCTGAAAAGAGAAGGCCCAGCCCAGTGGGAAACAGTTGTGAGACGGGGAGCCCTGGGCTGGGCCAGTGTTCCCATCCGGCAGGTATCCTTCTTCCTGCCGCATCCCTGGGGTCTGTATTCATGGGACTCTCTCCTTCCAGACCAGCTGGAGGAGCTGGAAAAGATCTTCCAAGCTGACCACTACCCTGACAGTGACAAGCGCCGGGAGATTGCCCAGACCGTGGGGGTCACCCCCCAGCGCATCATGGTAAAGGGGGCTGGGCAGGGACGGCTGGTGGCACAGCTCTAGGCTGGGTTCTTGCCGTGTTCACATTGCCATGACCTGAGAAAGCTCTCAGAGGAACCTGTTATGACACCGGCCCCAGGGCGGGCGTCTGCAGCATAGTGGTGAGGCAGCTCCTCACGAGATAGTCAGGGCCCGTCTGAGACTCTGCCCATTTCTCAAGCTTTCCTAGCATCTCTCCCTACAGGTGTGGTTCCAGAATCGCCGGGCCAAGTGGCGGAAAGTGGAGAAACTGAATGAGAAGAGGGACAAGGACAGCCCTGCAGATCCAGCCCCCGCCAGCGGCCAGGACAGGTGACTTTCTCCTCCTGCTGGGTCATTCCTGGAGGTAGGAAGTGGGGCCCACGCTGGGACCTGGGTCTCAAAGTCTGTGCACTGAAGCTGGAGCTGCTGGCTAGCATTTAGAGGGCCTTTGGCTGCATGGGACAGGGCAGCGGCCAGGGCCTTGGAGGGAGGCAGAGTCTGTCCCTTTCCTGGCCCGAGGCCCCGATCTACAATTAGGGGCTATTCAAAGCACAACCATCGCTCTGTCTACCTCCAGCTCCGCTGCTGAGCTGCCACCTGCTGTGCCCATGGACCCGGAGCCTGGAGCCTTCCCTCCGGAGCCCCCTCTAGACATCCTGCCGGGTGAGCTGACCCCCTTCTGAGGATTATCTGGGGGAGGGAAGGGATGACAGGAAGAGAGTGAAGACAGAGGGGCTTGCTAGGCATGAGCGTGGCCCTCAGCTCTCTGCTGTCCTGCGCTTCTACCTTCCAGCAACCCCAAGTCTGCCTCCCCATTCTCTCACCATCGCAACCTCATGTCTTCTGCTCCCAGAGCCCCCCATGCTTCTGACATCTGACCAGACACTGGCCCCAACCCAACCGAGCGAGGGGGCTCAGAGGGCGGCAGTGACCCCACCACTCTTCAGCCCCCCGCCTGTCCGAAGGGCCAACCTTCCATTCCCCCTTGGCCCTGTGCACACCCCCCAACTGATGCCTCTGCTGATGGACACATTTGGCAGCGACAGCAGCCACAGAGATGGCTCCTGTGGGTCCTGGGGGACAAGGTATGGAACCCAGTGGGGGTGGCTGCTGAGCTATCTTGGGAGGGGTTTCAGAGCAGAGAGGAGCTTGGGATGGCCAGGGGCAATAATTAGAAAGTGAGAAGAGGGAGAAAGGGGTGGAAAGGGTAGGATATCTCAGCAGCAGAGCAGGAACAATGTGAGAAGCTGGGAGCTAAGGAAGCAGAGGTGGCAGCAGGTGGGGTCTGGAGGTGGGGAGAGGGGTGAGAAGACACTGGCCTGTGTGGTCAGAATGAGGAGCCCTCCCTCTCCCCGCCTCGACCCTCACAAAATGCTTCCCTGTCCTCACAGTGTCACCCCGCCCCCCACCTGCTCATACCTGGAGGAGCTGGAACCCCAGGATTACCAGCTGAGCAGCCAGCCAGGGCTGTTCCAGGTCCCCCAGGCTCTGCAGACCCAGCTTTTCCAACAGCCGCAGCCCCAGTTCTCCTACCTGCATCCCTTCCCCTTCTCCACACCCAGCTCCCTGACGCCCCCGCTGCCAGAGGACACTTTCTTCCCGCCTCCCTACGGCCCCGGTGGGGGCACCTCGCAGGGCTACTTCCCAGCGACCCCTGCAGGGCAGGTTCTGCTGCAGCCCCCCACTGGGAGCATGGGTGAGTCAGGGCTGGAAGGGAGGACCTTTGATGACTGGGGAAGGGGAGAAGGGACAGGCCTCATTGCCAAGGAGGCTGAGGTAGGGTATGGTGCGAGGGGAGCTTTTTTCTTGCCACAGGGGTCTTGTTCCTCAAGTTTTTCAGAGGCTGCAGAGCAGAGAGAGATAGCTAGAGAGCTTTGGAATTAGGGAACCAAAATGTGAAGTCCAGCTTAGCTGTTTCCAACTCTCCTGGGCCTCAGTTTCCTGGGCTCAGAAATGGGAATATGACTCCCATGGCATGGAGCACCTGATGCAGAGGAGAAATAACATGAGGGCCGTGCCTGGCACAGAGTAGCTGGCGGCCAATACAAGTGTTCTGATGGGCCACTGGGCCTCTGAGAACCTGGAAACAGCCATCTTACGACTACATCCAGTGGAAGGGAAAGAGTGTCCAGGGGGTTGGGTCTCCTTGCTGCCATGGTGCCCTGTGTCCCTGTCACCAGGCTCAGGCGCGAGTCTGGAGCATGCCTGGGGTCCTAGCCTGTGTGTTGTAGGCAGGGGATGCTCACAGCGCATGTTGAACTGTGGCTGGTGCCTCAGTCCCATCTAATTGCTTCTGTGTTCTTTCACCCCACAGGCACAGTGCCCTGGAATGACCCTTGCTTGCCAGAACTGCCCTTCCCTGGTCCCTTCTGTTCCCAAGCTCTGGTGTACCCCTCGGGAGGGGAAGGCTACTTTTCCGATCTGTTCCCGGCTCCCTATGCTCACCCTGTGAGCAGGCAGCCTTCTCCAGGGCCCAGCCGGCTGCCTGACGGGGCCAGGCCAGGAGCTGGGCCTCTACCCAGCAAGGCCCCCAGTGAGCAGCCCATGGCCATTGTGGAGCAGCGCTTGGCACTCGAGAAGGCCCGAGAGGAAGACAAGAATAGCCACGACCCCTAGTCCTGGGGCCACATATCAGACAGGCTGCTGGGTGGAGAGGGTTGGGGCGCCCGCCGTCAGGGAGATGGTGGCAGAAGCATTAGGAAAGACTGTGGACATGCTCCTGTGTGAGCTCATCTTGCTGGGCGCTGGTGTGATGAGGGAGGGGCTGGCCCTACCGGCTCTCCATACCTCTGCACGGCGTCGGCCCTGAAGAAGGTGATGGCCGGTACCACTTTGGAACTCTGTATCAGCTTGTGTTGTTTCCTTGCCTCACCAGGCACATGAGCCAGAATGTTCATTGTAAGCAGTAAACTAGTGTGATGTTGTTTTCTCTCTGTAATTATATGTCTCCCCACTCACACACCGAGCTCCAGTCCCTTCACTGCGTCCACTCAGCTTCCCAGATGAGGTCACCACTGGGCGTGATCACATGGACGTGGCATTCTCCCTGGCCTGTCTCTCCTGCTGGAGGAGAAACTGAGCGTTTGGGGCTAGTCTCTCCATAGCTTTTTTTTTGAGGGGATGCTAAGAAGTGGATGCTCTTATATATAGTTAGCACCCCACATCGGATAGTCCCACAGTGTCCACTGCAGAGGGAGGGAGGGCATTCTGGACCTCTAGATGCTATGATTATTGGAAAGTACACATCCTCTTGATTTCATCATCCTCTCAATAGTGCAAGCTCAGGGTTTTGCAATTGACCAGAGCAGAATCCTTGCTTGCAGACTCCATAAAAAAAAAATGTCTCCCCCTCTAACTTAAGCTTTCACTATCACAATGTTTCCACTAGGTGGCGACCCACCACCGGTTTCTCTGGCCTTAAACTCTGGTGGTTTAGAGCAACTATTTTCAACCTTTTTCATCAGGGCACATGTAAACTAATGACTAAGATTCTGCAGCACACCAAAAAATATTATTTGCCAATCTGACAAATAGATTTAATTTTGATTCTTTAATAGGGGACAGCTATGGTGTTGGCTGTTGTCATTTATTTGGCAATCTAAGGGAAAAGAGGTCAGTGCCCCAGACTAGTCAGATATTGCATGTTTTAAAAATTCTTGCAGCAGACAGGTTGAAAATCGCTAGTTTGCAGTAAGAAAGCCCATGCTAATTCTTCCAAAAGCCCTAGAGCCACTAACGTCAGATTCAGAGATATTAATCATTTGAATTGTAGCTTGCCAGATAAAGTGTATGATTTCCAGTTACATTTGAGCTGCAGATAAACAAATCCTTTTTTAGTATAAGCATGCTTCCTACAATAGTGGAGTGTCCTATATTTTTATGTACGCTAAATCCGGCAATGCTGGTTGTAGCACTTTGCTCAGGACTCTACATCCATGCTAACGTCTGGATCCAAACAGAGGTTGTCCAGGAGCAGGCCTCTGATTCTGGGCTCAACTTTTTGCAGTTCAGGCTCCTGAGCAGCCCTGGGATCATGGTGTGAACCAGTTCATAGAAGCCTCCCCACCTTCCTGCCATTCTAACCCTCCAGGCTCCCCATGTGTCTAAAAAATGCTCTAAAATCTATTGGATTCCTAGGATATTTTCTGTGCCTGTTAGCTGCTTATTGCTGAGACAGCCCATTAGAAGTTATTTTTACACACGTATTTTAACATCATTTGCATAAACGGAGCACAGAAAAACAGGAAGCAAAATACAATCTGGCTTCTATTGATTCCAAGTCCTAAACAGTCTTTATGAATTAAGAATAAGTCTGATTTCCGGGAAGTACATCATTTTCATTCACCCTGAAGTGGTGTTATTTTGGTTCAGAGAGAGATTTATGGTTTTTATATTTGCGGTTTGGTTCACACTGTTCTTTCAAAAACACACTCTCATTTGAGTTTCAACGCCAAGTCCTCAGAAATAAAGGCCTCTACATGTTTCAGCATTCAGTGGGACCTACAGGACCTACAGTTCTGGGTGAACACAGATAAATGAAAGGTCTTTCTGGCATTGAGGAAACCAACAGTCTTGTCCAGGAATATGGCCACACAAGTGCCCAGTTAGACCGCAGGAGGGCAGAGCTGTGCAGGGTCAGCCCGGAGAACCAAGTGTGACCAAGGACCAAAGACCAAAGGTGGACAGCATGTCTGCTGGGACTGAGAATAATGGAGTCTGAGGCATCACTCCTGCAAGAAGAACAGGATTAGGATAAGCAGAGCAGGAAAGAAAGGGTATTTCAGGCAGAAGGCACAGTGAGTGTGAGGCCCCCGAGACTGGAAGGATGATTAAGGAGGGGTTCAGAGTTGCTGGATTTGTATAAATAAGGCCAGTGGGAAGGCTGTGGTAGAAGATCTGAGAAGCACTGGCAGGTTTAAGGTGTGGGCATATCTTGTTCAAATTTGTTTTAGAAAGACAGATGGAAAATATGACCAGAGGCTTAGAGGAAGCTGAGAAACAAGATAGAGCTACTGTTGAGTCTAAGTGAGAGGTGGTGGAGAGAAAATAGAGAAGATTGGAGAAATACTTAAAGAGTCAGGCTCAGTTAATAAGATGAAAGTTAGTTGGAAAGAATTTAATAGAAAGGAAAGAAGATGGACACTTTCGTAACTAAGAAATACTATTAATTGATAAAGGAAATAATGGGGATGGAGCCAATTTTGGGAAGGTAGACCACTCTGTATGTTGAGTGGAAGTTCCTGTAGTTATCTGTGTGGATGTAGTTATCTAGCGAGAATAATATGGAAATAGGTCTGTGGGGCCTCTTCAGCATAGAAAATGCTAATTGAGGTCAAGAGACCACACCAGATGGCTCAGGCAGAGTACCTGGCATGAAGAATTGTCTTGGAAACACCAAGAGGAGAATGGGGCAGAAGAAAAAGGGGTGCTGAGACTGATGAAGAAAGACTGGGGTATAGACAAAGAGCTGGAAGGGCTCTCATATGGGGAGGAATCAAAGCCCCCTAGGGTCAAGGTCTAGAGAGGAAGCTGGACAAGTAATTGTGCAAATTAGATATAATTATCCTAATTTACAGAGGAGGACATGGAGGTTTAAATGATTTCCTAAAAATGCCTTAACCAAGTCAAGATGAAAGTCTTCTGAGTTTATTTTCCACATCACCAAATCAGACAGAGAAGTCTCGCTTCGGGAACATATCACTTAAGAAACTGGACAAGCCTTAACAGGTGCATGGGTACTTGTGACAGCCAATTCTGTGTGTTTGCATGTTTGCAAGACCATGGGGAACTGAAATACTTTTCCCAGAAACTGATCCTCAGACAAAATATTAATGATGATGGTAATAATTTATTTAGAATTTATTGTGTATGTAGCTCTCTAATAGGTCATTTCATTTCATGACAAATCTATATGGTATTTTACTTATTTTTCCTTATAAAGTAGTATTCATGTGACTCAGAGAGGTTTAAGTATTTGCCCAAAGTTGCAAAAGAAACTAGAATTGGTCAGGAGGTGCCAACTTCAAGCAGCAGTATACTTGGATAGTTTTAGAGGGAGATGACAAAAAAGGTCAGAGGTGGGGCTGAGTGTAGTAAAACAATCGGTGCAATCTAGATTAGATTTAGGATCCTCCACAGACCCTAGGTCTGTGTTTAAATAACACACTTAGCCAGCGTGGCTCAGTGGTTGAATGTTGACCTATTATCCAGGAAGTCACAGTTTAATTCCCAGTCAGGGCACATGCCAGGGTTGGGGTGGGGGGGGATGATCCCCATTAGGGGGTGTGCAGGAGGCAACCCATCGATGATCCCCTCTCATCATTGATGTTTCTATCTCCCTCTCCCTTCCTCTCTGAAATCAATAAAAATGTATTTAAAAAATAAATAACAACACAGTACTGTTTAGTTTGATTTAAAAGATAGAGGAATATTGTGTGAGGCAGGAGAGGGCGAAGAGAGCAGTGGTAAAGGACCAGGAAGGTCCATGCTGCAGAGCTGGGATTGGAATGTATGGAAAGAACAGGCCAAGAGGGAAGTGAAGTGGCTGTGGGGGCAATAGAAGAAAGAGGCAGATGGAAGGGGCTGGATGGCTAGAGGGGGTACAGCTGTGACCAGTCTTACCTGGTAGATCAGTGTTTCCCAAACTTCTCTATAATGAGAATCACCTGGTGGAGTTGTTAAACTACAGATTCCTGAATCCCAACTAAGAAGTGCTAAACTAGAATTGTTGGGAACATATAGGTAAAATTGTATACAATGTTCCCAAAAATTCTAGTTTAGCACTTCTTAGTTGGGATTCAGGAATCTAGTTTAACAACTCCACCAGGTGATTCTCATCATGAGAGAAATTTGGGAAACACTGTAGGTAGATGATAGGGATTAAAAGGAGGCAGTCAAAGCTGAGATCGTGAGAGCACTCCTACAGAAAGACTGCAGGTGAAAGGATGGGAGAAGGCATGCCCTTGGGGAAGTCTCCAGTGCCAGGAGTGAGCTGTTGAGATGAAAATAGCGGAAAGGAAACAGAGGAAAGCATCTCCGAGAGCTACGAAGAAATCAGAACTTACTTGTGTGGGTGGAGAGGAGAAAATGTTAAATTGACTCCCTGTTTCAGAGCCCAGGCATCTGGGAGTATGAACTACAAGCAATGGAAGTCTAGAAGTGTTGGTTTTTGCCTCAGCATTATGGCATTTGAGTCTGCGTTTGTAGCTTTCCTACTTTATCTGCTTCTTGGTCTCATCACTCTGGCCTACTTGTCCAGGTACATTCCCTCTGCCATAGGTTTTCATTATCTGAGAATGGAGTTTCCACCCCTGAAGATTCTTGGGTCCTTTCCAGTTCACCTTCACCCTGCTGCTGCTCATGTGGTCCCTTCCACCAAATTCTATGCCATGTGTCCTCCCTAGACTGGCACCCTCACCCCATCATATCCCAGGAGCCTGCTGGGAATATGGGGTCCCTTCTGAGCTATCAACAACAATAAACCTTTACTCTTTCTAAGCATTCCATTTTTCCCACTTCATTAAACCTTCTTACCTATTCATTTTGGTTAGGCTTTTCTGTTACTTCCTATAATAATTATTTAAATTGGTGAAATCAAGTACATTTTCATACCCAGTGCACTAAAAATTGTCCCCAAACCAATTTAAAGGACTACTGCCAAAGTTTAAAAAAAATAATAATAATACACACCCATATTCCTTGATTTTCAAATGGAAAATTCCTCTTTCCCCTTTTCTCCACTTTTATTTAATGCCTATATTGCTGTATTTCAAGGAAGAAGCCCAGTCTCTGCATAAATTCCATCTACTTGTAGAGATGCTCTAGACCTCACCACCCTAAAAGCTAAACAGCCACCTCTTCACACACACTCACACATGTGCACACACATTCATGCATGTATGCACACACATATGCATGCACTTCCAAGTTATTTGAGGCCAAACCACACCTTATCTTTAATTCCAGTCAGTTGCCTGACCCAGTTCAATTCTATCACCAAAACCTGCTAATTAACAATTCCACAAGTCTTGCCACCTGCTCCTCCCATGCTCTCAAAAAACAATCTGCCTATCCACATGGTGTTGACTCAATCTTTACAATTTATAGCAAGTCACTTTCTACAAACTCAGCAGATTATCCCCTTAAGCCCTAGGTGTGAACACCAGGCTGCTATTTCCTGTAGTTTATAACTAACTGGCTGTGTGACTTTAGGCAAAGCATCTCCCTTCTCCAGATTCCACTGTTGCCTCCAACAGGGGATGAATTTCTCATCCCCACAAGCTGATCTCAATAAGAAAACACTAGAACTGGCTGCATGAATCCCATTGAAGGTTCAAACCTTTCTTTGCCTTCTTCATTTCCCTTTTCTCCCTGAGACAGCTTCTCGGGTGGAAGTCTCTCTTGCTGGACTTGTGGACTCTACCAGGGTACCCACGGTCCCTCACCCTCAGCCACCCTTTCCCAAAGAGTCCGAACTCCCTGGCATCCAGGAACCTCTAGGTCTGTGGTCCATCTCACGCAGTGCCATAATCTGACCTGACTCCCACTCCCCTGAATTTCCACCTGCATTGTTCAGAGGTAATTGCTTCTCTGAAATGCTCAGATAACTGCCAGGAAAATATTTATCTGTTCATTGGTGCTCCTGGAGGACTTTGTTGGCCAGACTGGGCCCCGCCCTGTAGCAGGCTCTGCCCTCAGGCCCATGACTCACTCACTAAGCAGCAGGGATCAGCAGTCACTCCCTCACCAGCTCAGAAAACGTTTACAGGTCACACCAACCCAGCTCCTTTCCTCCACACATGCCCCGTTCACCAGCCACCCAGAGAGAGTAAACAACACACCCACTCACCCGCACACCCTGCGTCTGTCTTCCCGGTGACCGAGGCCTCGCTCTCTGCTGTTCCTGGGAACTCTGCAGGTTGAATGGATGCTTTGCCTGAATCTCTTCGGAGGAGGAGGCTAGAGAAAGTTCTACTCCAAAACTGTAATTTAAAGTGGGTGGGAAGAAGTGGGTCGAAAACGAAGTATAGAGAATGTTCAGTGCGTTTGAATCAGAACTGAGTTTGGCAACCATTTCTCTTTAGCTCATTTACTTGTAACCTTTGGCCCCTCTGCACACCTGATTACAGTCAGACGATTACCATTAAACAACAGGCAGCTCTTGAGTCATATTTACAGCAACTCTGGCTCACCAGTCACTGAATTGCATTAGTTATGGAGCCAAACCCTCACCAAGACATTTACGCGCAGGACTAAAAGCCACGCGCACACACCAGATTCCAGGACCTGTCTTAGGAGGGTGGGTGAGGAGCAGTGCCTATAAAGGACCACTCTACCAAATCCTGGATTCCTAATTTGGTCTCATTTCTGAGAAGAGGTTATGATAAGGGCACAACCATTAAACACTTAAAAGCACACACTATTTCTGGGTAGAGCAACAGAAGGAAATCAGGTTTATGTGAGGGGGATAAATATGTGTGTGAAAGGGGACCAGTGAATGGAATTCCTTTAGATTTTCAAAGACTTTTAAACAACTTCTATCCCAAAGGCCAATTAAAAAGTAATTGGTCATCCTACAACCAAAATCAAAAAAAAATTTTTTGTATCATGGATTTAGTTGTTTAAGAGAAAGAAAATGAAATTAAGGAAAATAAATACATCTTAATTTGTGAGCCTTCCTAGTTCTGCCCCAAAAAAATGTTGGTTAATGGTTGTTTTCACAATCTCATAAGAAATTTCTCTCTGAAATCAACAAATAATGCCAATTAGAATTAAAAAATAAGTTGAGTCAATTCTGGAAATTTGCAGAAGAAATGGATAATGAGTGAAACTGGACCTGATCTTGTGAAACCTGAAGTATAGAAAGTTTAGTAATTCAACTGAAGAGAGATGACGCATATATAAGTTTTGTTGTGTGTGTGTGTGTGTGTGTGTGTGTGTGTGTGTGTGTGTATGTTTTGTCTTTAATATCAAGGACCTAAAGATAGGTAGAATCCTATTGTCTTTCAGCTTCACAGATGAATTGATAATATCAAATTAAACAAATTCATGTTAAATACCCTAAAGATGATTTTAGTCTTTCAGAATTCAGCTTCTTAGCAACTTCAAGTGAAGTAGTCATTCAACTAAAAAAAAAGTATTTGCCTGTACATCATTCAGAAGTTAATATTTTACCTCTCTGGGAAAATTTTCCTGGAAAATATAAGGTTGGATATGGTTCTGTTTGAGTCATATGGCCAGTATTCAAATACTGGTTTGAACAAATAACTTGAGTTATAATTATGGTATTTGCTGTTAAGAAAAACCAGTTGTTAATTTACTTATAATATATACATGTTAGTATGTCATATATTAATAAAAAGCTGGATTTATGATAATAGTGAGAAATTTCAATAGAACTTTTCTAAAGCCCTCCCATTTTAGATTGTTTGATAGTATCAACCTGTTAAGATAAATTACTATTAGCCCAAACTTAATTAGGACAGGGATTACTTTTCTAACAATTAAGCAAGCTAACTTACATTTTTAGATGGACTCAAAACAAAATGTGTTATCAAAAGTGATAGCATCATGTCATATCATCATTACCTGGATATAGAACAGAGTCTATAGTAGTATTCTTACTTTTGTACAAAGCTGCAATGCAGTTTTACTTTTGAGCCCTCCCAAAGATAAGGCAGAGGAGTACACTGTCAAGGAAAGGAGTATAATGACACAGCTTAAAAAATGGCTGTGCTGTCCGGCCAGCATGGCTCGATGATTGAGTATTGACCTATAAACCAGGAGGTCATGTTTTGGTTCCTGGTCAGAGCACATGCCCAGGTTATGGCTTGATCCCCCTGGAAGGTGTGCAGAAGGCAGCCAATCAATGATTCTCTCACATCACCGATGTTTCCATCTGTCTCTCTCCCTCCTCTCTGAAATCAATATATCTATATATATATATTATTTTTAAATATGGCTATTCTGTGGCTGTGTGAGGGCTCTATTTGAGAAAAAAAAATGTAAAGAATGATGCTCTTTAGCTGAGAAAGGTGATCTGATCAGAGCTAGACAATCACAAATTGTAGAGTTGGATGGTTATTTTAGAGTTACTTGGTCCAAACTTGTATTTTACATTTAAGGAGACTGAGACATGGATAGGCTGGATTATGGCAGTGTGATACATGGAGCAAGGGTATCTTGCCTTGGGTCCTATGACACTTTCCATTACACTGTACTGCTTTTCACAAACAGGATAAAATAACTGGGAAGATACCTTCATGATAATTCAAATCAAAATATAAACTCATTAATTGCCTGAATAGGACTTCCAAATTCACCCAACTAGCCTATACCTTAAGGTTCAGGAAAAAAGGAAAGTATGAATCACAAGGCAAGAGTTGACAGACACCATGGCCTAGGCACCATCTTGGTCTTTCATGACACCTAAATCAAATAGCCTGGAAGCCTCATGGGGCTCCATGTTGGGAACCTCACTCAGTGCTCCAGAGTCTGAGGAGAACATACTTGAGTAGTGCCAAGTTTATTAGAGTGAGAGAATCCCCCTCACATTGCCACCAGTAGACCCGAGTTGCGCATGCACTACCTCATACCAACAATCATGGAAAATCATTAGGATTGGAAGATACTTTAGTAGTCACCAGGTTGACCCTCCCAGCTGACATGGTAATCCCTCTTAAACTTCTCCCTTTAGTCAGATTCTGTTTACCATATCCACAATGGATACTCTGGCCAGCTCTGGATCAGCACTCTGGAAGAGAATGCTTAAGTACTAAATGGTAGAAGTATAGTTCCTTCGTGTAGGCCCCACTGGATCCTTTTCCTATGAGAACATGTTTCCAGAGTCTGGTGCAAAGTCCCTCAAAATCCCCAACCAAGCACAAAGCACAAAAATGGAGGCGGTGGGAGAGCAGGGTAGTGTCTAGCGACTGGTAGTTGGATTTTGTTCTTGGGCTCTCAGAAGGTCTAGTTCTTGGTCCACAGAAGGCCTGTTGCAGGGTTGTAGGGCCAGCCCTCTCCAAGAACAACTTGTCCTTAAGCTCACGGGAGTCTTTCCAGAGAACAGCTAGGTCTGTTGTTCTACCAGCTGTAGTTTGGCCGTCTTGACTCGCTGGGCTTCCTTCAGGTTCCGTGCACGAACCTCTGGATTGGAAATGAACTCCACCTGCTGCACAGGAAACCAGCCTCGCTCTCCATCTGAGAGTCTCATGCCCTCCAGCCAGCCTATGGGCACAAAATGGGTAGGAAAAAAAATTATCTGGAAAACACATCATTTCCCCTGAACACCTTTCCAAACACATTCCTGAGGTTAAATGGATGGGCATGCCCCCAGAGCATTGGACACCCAATGCACTCATGCTGGCCACTCTAGGTCTGGTCTAATCCTTAGTGTTCTTTCTCTACTATCTTGGATTGAATTGTGTTCCTCCAAAGTATATGTTGAAGTCCTAACCCCAAGTACTTCAGAATGAGACTTTATTTGGAATAGGGTTGATGCAGATGTAATTAGTAAAGTTAAGATGATGTAATACTTGAGTAATGTAGGCCACTAATCCAATATAACTGGTATCCTTAAAGAGAGACATTTGGGCACACAAGCATACACACACAGAAGGAAGACAAAGGTAGAGATTGGATATACTGCCACAAGCCAAGGAATACCTAGAGCTACATAAGCTGGGACAGGCAAAAAAGGACCCTCCCTAGAAGCTGTATAGAAGAAGTATGGCTCTGCCAACACTTTGATTTTGGACTTCTGGCCTCCAAAACCACAAGAGAATACATTTCCATTGTTTTACACCACCCACTTTGTGGTACTTTGTTACAGAAGCCCTAGGAAGAGAATATTTCCATCCCACTCCAATGCTAGCCTACTGCTCATGGACTTTGCCTCTTACCATCACTGCTTTGTTGAGTCACCATCACCACATCTGCCTTCTCCAAAGCCAACTCATCATTCTCTCGAGGTTTGTAGGCTCGAAGGCACTGCACTTGTGGGGAATCTGGAAGAGAAGAGTGTGAAGGGAAGTTAGGAAAGGCAACTGACTGAAACAGGGAGAAGGAATTTCAGGGGAAGGCTGGGAGAACTTGGGATCGAGAAAGTCCACATTTTTGAAAGTTACAGACAAAAGAGACCATTGGAAAACTCTTCATCTCCTACCAGGAAGCGAAACGGTTGACAAGGAAATACAAATATCATAATTCAAATGAATAAAAAATTCTATTTCTGAGGGGAAAATGAATTGAGAAATACATTGGAAACACCTTTAGTGACTCATTATTACAAATACTCTAGATTAGGGGTGTCGAACTCAATCAGAGAAGGGGCCAAAATCTAAAATCCAGCCTAAATCGCAGGCCGAATGGTTTACTGAACAGTCATAAACTGTCATTGTGATGGAAATGCAACAGAGTGCAGTGATGATGACAGTGCGGTGCGGGCCACATTGCAAGGCCTGGCGGGACGGATTTGGCCCGCGGGCCTTGTGTTTGACACATGTGCTCTAGATGCATGTTCACTCTGAAAGCTTTCCTGACTCTTTAGTCCTCCAGAATCTGAGGAGAAAACTTGGAGTAGTGCCAAGTTTATTAGAGTGAGAGAATCCCCCTCACATTGCCACCAGTAGACCCCAGAGTTGCGCATGCACTACCTCATACCAACAATCATAGAAAATCATTACTCAACTTCAAAACTGCTCATGTAGGCCAGACCATTTTTCCTCTACCTAATTATTTTATGTATGTGTTCTGGGTCTGCAACTAGATTGTAAAACCTGAGTCTGGGACTCATTCTTTGTTTTCTTCATGCTACTAACATGGGCCTAGAAGAGACCTAACCAGTGGGGTTTCAGATCTAAGAAGGCACTGAAACCCCTTCAGCTTCAGCTTCCTCCCAGGTACATGACTAGGTTGGTCAGGAAGATTCTTGAGAAAATTCTGGATTTCCTATATTTTTATACTTTTGTGAATCAGGAGAAATTCCTATAGTTTTAAAGCTCAAGGTTAACAAGCCTCAGAGTATTCCTGACCCACAAGCATTCCATCATCTATGGGTTTACTGCTCGTTCTACTTTTCTGGCTGTACTAGTGCCTCAGAAAACAAACAGAACATGACCTAATTATCTGTACTTCTTCTTCTAATGCCGTGACCCTTTAATACAGTTCCTCATGTTATGATGGCGCCCAACCATAAAATCATTTTTGTTGCTAATTAGGAACTGTATTAAAGGGTCATGGCATTGGAAAGGTTGAGAACCACTGTTCTAAAGTCGTCCTCTTGGCCATTCACAGGGTCACAGTGAAGGAGGAAGAATTATCTTGCCTCCCTTACCAGCTCCGTAGAACTGAAGCCCAGCAGATGACACACAGTGAACAAGTAAACTGAACTCAGTTTACAACCGGGCTCTTCTACTTCCATTTCCAGATTTCCTTGCATTTGTTTGTTCTTTTGTTTGAATCACCAAAGGTCCTGTCTTCCTAGAAGTTCAGCTCCTTTTGGATACAGATTAGGGAATCCTTGCTGGAGGACTACCATGCAGCTTACAGAAGACCCATAACTTCAAGTCTTAGCATGAATGCAGGCACATTCATAATTTGTGTAACTGGAAGCCTGGGGTAACACCAGTGGTCTCAGGAGGTAAGAGCAGAGGTCATCCTCTACAGGAGCGGGGTGTGCTTCAGACAAAACTACTGTTTGGATATTTTCCCATAACTCCCACTCCAGCCCTGCTTTCTCCTTTTCCCTGAGACCTTCAAGCAGATAACATCCAATTCCCCTCCCCCTGAAAAAAGGCAGGATAGACTTAAGGGGCCAAATATTTTAAAAGAGCAAACTATTGCCCCAAGTAGGGATTGCATGGGTTTGTGGCATTGCCATGGCGGTGGGCAGTTTTAAGCAGGTATAACCTCCAGTGGACAGCTTCTACCATGAAATTCTGGACAAAAGCAATAAGTGCAAGCCTCTCCAAGTTACCACCCAGCCCTCTGAACTCCTGCCTCTAGAGGAGACTTCTGACCCTGCCATTTTTCTCTCCCTCACTCACCATAACACTCCTGAAGGTCCAACTCCTCTCTTGGCATGGCCAAGGCAGAGATCCATCGGAGCTTTTCACTTCTGAGAAAACAAAGGAGGGTCATTGCTCCAGCTGCAGCTCTGGGGTGTGGGACAAGGAGGGAGATGGGGAACGGACATGACTGTGGAAAGACCTTCTAATTCAGTGGTATTTAGGGCAAGTCAATGGGATTCTGCTTAACAGGAAATATGACAGGATCTTGAACTGCATGTTAATGTCTTGCCACCCTTTATGTATCCCTTCTCTTTCCAAGTTTATCCTGTCAGTGGCATCTCATAAAGTGGGGACATAAAGTCAAATGTCAGCTATAAAAAGGTGGATTTTCCATTGTGGAAACTGTACTAAGCAAAATGCTCATCTCCGTGTAGATCCCCTTGGTCACTTTGCATGATTCTTAACACTCCTCTGCCCACCTCCCTTCTATTAAATGTCTCAGAGATGAAAATCATCTTGTGGTCATAATTAGAGCAGGGAGATGTATCTCTTAATTTTTCTTATGTAATTTCATCCTAGCCTAATTTTGTGGTTGACTAAAGGTTTTTGTATTATCTTAGCCTTGGCTTTCAAACATGCCAGAGTAATTTAGAGGTGTCACTGTTACTGTTCCAGAAAGATGCTGCCCAAGCTGCCAAGTAAAGGACACGGGGCCGTGTCTGACTACTCAGTGCAGGTGACACTGTGCACACAGACTCCTGCACTAGGCTCTCTGTTCATCCCACCCTGAAATGTCCTCCGAGGGACAAAGCTGAAAATTGTCTGAAACATGAAGATCCGACTACTAGGTAACATGTTAAAGTTTTTAAAGGAAAGATTTCATAGATCTTTTATAACATCAATAATAGGTACAGTTTTGTAGCTGTTCGTTATTATTGGCACAGTGTACCAGATTTTATAGGTATTGTTTTTAATATTCTCCAAAATGTTATGCATGTATAAATGTATTTTTATTATTATTTAAAAGATGAGCAAATCGAAGTTCTTAACACTATGGATTTCTGCTCAACATAGGATGAATTGGAAAGTGGGAGCAAGGAAAGCCAAGGGCACATATGCACCTGTCTTGGGCACTGAGGAATTTCTGGCTTGCACACATGGGCATTCCCTGGTGGATGTCAGTAATCTAACTCTTTTAGTGACTGGCCCATCTCTTTTTGGTATCTCACAGACTTTGTCATTCCAGATTAAAGGGAATACAATAGACACTGAGCCTTGGTGGCAAAGTTATACCCTTGGTGGCAAAGTTATACCCTCACCCACTCCGATCTCCTGAGGGTGCCTATTAGCTCCAGAAATTTGGGGTTCTCTGTGGATGCTCCCCAGTCCAGCATGGACTATTTAGTGCCATGGCTATTTTCTGGACACACTTCCTGCCTTGGTCCCACCTCTTCCCTGGGCTTCCAGTTTCCCTCCCCCCAGCTCCTCTGCACAGCCCCATCTCACTGAGTCTCCGTGCTGAAGAGGAACTCGGCCTGGGTGCCCTGCGTATTGTGCAGCAGGAAGAGCCGGAAGAGGTTTTTGTGAGGTCCATGTAGCTTCATTTCACACTTTTCCCCCCGAATAGAGGAGAAGGGAGCATGGTCAAACACCAGGAATCGGCCACCCCTGCAAAATACAAGGCTTTTCAACCAGATTCTACAGTTGTCATACTTTATCCACCCTCAGATCTTAGGATCCCAAGTCCTCGTCCTTAGCATATGGTAACCTGCAAATTTTCATAAAAACCATACGTTGGTGCTTACTCTCAAGATGGTAGCTTCAGAGTCCCCAGGTACGTGTCACTAGCTTGGTAAACCACGTTTCTAATCTCACGAATACTTAACCACTTTAAAGAGTTACAGAGACAGAACCAATATAAATTTTCTAAGACCCTGAGGATCTGGAATTGGCTAAATATCTTTGGACTAGTAGGCTCAGCCTCGCCCAAAGAAACCACAAACTGACAGATTGGGAAAGTGATGGCTAATTTGCTGCATTTTGCTCTGTGTCTATAATATGGTACAGGTCTTGCCATGTGATCTTGTGGCATATTTGGGGTGGGATCCCCTTTTTTGCTTTGGATCCTAATCTTTCTTCTCTATACCATGACCTGGACTCCGTGGATTAGGTCATTGAGAAGGGGTCCTCTAGGAACACGACCCTTCTCTGTTCGTTTCTGTCCTCCCCTCTTGCCTCTCCCATTTTCCTCTTGTGCTCTGGCCTCCCATTCCAATCACTGACTCTCGGGGCCGAGACAGCAACAGACAGTCATTGAAGAGATGAAGGTGGACTGGACGCGTGTTCAGTTTCCTTCGCAGTCCTGGGGAGATACTGGACTCCAGGGCAGCCAGCTCGCCACTCTTCACCAGCCAGCGTGACTGTGAAATGAGCGGGAATATCTGTAGGGCAGAGGAGGGCAGAAAAGGCAGTGTCACAGATCAAGCACCAGGCTCCCTTTTAGCCCTCCCTCCCTCTCCATGCCCCTTTCTCATGAGGTCCACTGACAATCATCTCTTCCACATTTTCCCTCTTGCTCATACCCACCCCTTAGTCTCTGCTTCCCTGTTAACCCACCAAACATCGTTACTATGGTACAGTTCCCACGTCCATAACTCAGGCAATGGAAGGTACCTGTGGTCCAACACCAAATAGTGACCATGTAAGAAAGGTTGGCCCTAGAAACCTGAACTGAAGAAGGCATGGAAAAGCCTAATTCAGGCATGCAGTGGAAGAAGGCAGGGAACACTATGTGTGTGTCTTAGAAGTTAAAAGATCTGGGTAGTGCTGATATCTGTTCTTTCTTTTATTATAACTAGAGACATAAGAAGAGTACCTGGGATTAGAAATGAGAATGGGATTAAGGAGAACAAGGTAGAATCTGCTTGGAGCTGGAATTTGGGCAAAGATAAGGGTAGAAACTAAGATAGATATGTGGATAAGAGGTATTCCTTCTCTCAGGGAGATAAGAATGGCACCTGCTCTGAGTTGGAATTTAAATGTGGAATGTCTATTGTAAATTTGCATTTGGATGGGATTCTTGGCCATAGATGTATTATTATTATTATTATTTTTAAATATATTTTATTGAGTTTTTATAGAGAGGAAGAGAGAGGGATAGAGAGTTAGAAACATCGATGAGAGAGAATCATCGATCATCCGCCTCTTGCACACCCTGTACTGGGGATGTGCCCCCAACATAGGCACATGCCTTTCACCGGAATCGAACCTGAGATCCCTCAGTCCGCAGGCGGACGCTCCATCCACTGAGCCAAACCGGTTTGGGCTGGCCATAGATTTAGATTCAATTTTTTATTGCTTGGGGCTATACTAATTTGAGATGATAAAATATTGGTTGGTTGAAGCACCAAAAATATTCATATCTATAATAATAAGAGTGTATCATGCTGATTAGACCGGATGTCTTTTTGGCTGAAGCCAGGGTTGCAAGGGAAGCCCGGGTCCTGGGTGCCTACTGGCAGCAGGAGGGATGCCCAAGTCTTAGGTGTCAGAGGAAAGCCTGTGCCAGCAGCAAGGGGAAGGAAGGCCTACTCTTGCATAAATTTTGTGCATGGAGCTTCTAGAATATACACTGAGTGGCCAGATTATTATGATATCTGAGTGCATAATAATCTGGCCACTTGGTTTACATCCTATATAATATAAGGCTAAAATGCAAATTGTCCCCTTGACCAGGAGTTCGACCAGTAGGTGGGCCGACCAACTGCCCATGTCCACTCCCCCTGGCCAGGCTGGCTGGACCCCACCCATGCACAATTTCATGCACCAGGCCTCATACATACACACACACACACACACACACACACACACACTCACTGATATACTGAGTGGCCAGATTATTATGTGTTCAGAGATCATAATAATCTGACACTCAGTGTATATATTGTAAAAGACTAAGCAACTGTTCAACCATTTGACTGTTCACTATGACACACACTGACCACCAGGGGGCAGATGCTCAATGCATAGGCATGAAAACATGGAACAGACTGATGAATCTCAGAGGGAAGGGGGAAGGAAGGAGGATGGGAAGAGATTAACCAAAGACCTTATTGCATACTAGAGGCCCAGTGCATGGATTTGTGCATCAGTGAGGTTCCTCAGCCTGGCCTGCAGGATCGGGCCAAAACCAGCAGTCTGACATTCCTTGAGGGGTCCCAGATTGCAAGAAGGCTCAGGCCAGGCCGAGGAACCCCCCATTAGTGAACGAATCTGTGGACTGGTCCTCTTGTATCTTTATAAAAATTTGAATTGGTAAGTTCTCTCTTATCTGTCTAGTTCCCAGGTACACACTAGACCCCTCAGGTAACCTCTTTACTTTATTTCTTATGTCTCCTCCCAGTTTCTTTACAAGCAAATGCATGTACAGATTTGCACCCTCCTACTTTTCCATCAAAGGTAATACACACAGTCTGTATCTTCCCTTTTCCACTTAATGGGATATCATGGAGAATAAAGTAAGCATTCAGGCACCCCAGAAATAGGACAGATCAGAGGCATGCAGACTGCAGTTAGAGACTAGCGTGGTAGAGCCAGCAGGCTCGGTGTTAGCAGGTGACCTAACCAGACATGCCAGAGAGTCACTCACTTTGCATTCAAACTCAATCTTCTGGCTCAGGTAGATGAGCTCCTCCGTCCGGCGCATTCTCTGGACGTTGTTATTGCAGTCTCGGATCAGCTGCCAGGAGAGCAGGTGAGGAAAGAGGAAGGGCACTATTAGAGGTTTGACCTTTGAGGCCCTGAAAAAAATCTGGAAATCAGTAGTTGTGATAGCTACAGTCTTTTCCACCAGGCTTGAACTGCATGAAGGTGGTATCTAGGTGATGTTTCAGGACTCTGGTGTATTTTCTATGACAGGGTCAACATTCCTGGGCTGAGTGAAAGCAAGATGGAATCTGGAAAGTGCCTGCAGTGTCATTGTAGTGGGAGGAGGCATGCGGAGGGAGGTTTGGTGAGTGCAGGAGGTGCTTGGGCAACCCCATCAGCAGTGACCATGGACCTGGGCAGGGGAAGACTGGGGACTGCCTACCTCCTCCAGGGCATGGTGTGCCTTTGTGGCCTCTGCTTCCTCTGAGGATCCAGGCTGTGTTCTCTTCAGAATGTTCTATAGAACACACAATAGACAGCAGCCAGATGGAAGAAGGGTGGAAAACAGGAAAAGATGGTGGGGGTGGGCCATTGGAGAGGTCCAGAAACAAAATTTTAGTAGCAAATTAACCCTGAGAAAAAGGGTGTGGGCAGTGGGGAGACTGCTCACTTTATCCACAGGGTGTAAGACAGTGCAGAAGGGCCAGTTCTGCCTTGTGGGATCTCCTGAAATCACCCTTTTGAGTTGAGAGGAGAATCCCAGGTGGGGTCTATACCTGGAGCAGCAGTTTGAGACGGGTGATGCGCTGGAATGGCAGGATCAGAAAGGACTTGAGGGACAGGCGCTGGCAGATGGGGTCACTCTCCAGCTTCTCTAGGACCTCACGGAAGCTGCTGTTAGTGCTCCTGTCAAACAGCAATGGGTAAGGAGGGTGGGAAATAGGGGGGCACAGAGAAGGCATATGGAGTGGAGACACAGTGGAATGTTTGTGGGTCAGGGAAGGATGGTGAGATCCAATGACATAGGGCTGAGACCTAATGGTTGAGGGCCTATGATCTGGAAGGCACTGGGGCTTGAGATCACAGAACGGGCACAGAATATGTGCTCAAGTGATAGCACTCTGGGTCAGGGGTTGGAGGTGTGGGTGCAAGGTCATCACCAGCCCCACACAGGGACTGATTGGGGTTCAGGTCTCACAGCAGAGTTTGGAAGGTGCGTTCCTGGTAGGTCTGGTTGGTGACGTAAGGCAGGTAGACACGACGGAAGTGGGAGGCATGGTTCAGGACTACATCACACACATGGAAGGTGAAGATGTTGTTCTCAAAGTTCTCCTCCAGGTCTGAAAGGAACCTGTGCAATATTCAAACAAGTCTCATGAGACCTGTGGGTCTCAAGTAAGCAGCTGGCTGAGCCCTGCTCTACCTTGATCTTGTGACATCTCTGTTAGTAAATAACTTCTGTCCTTTGTTCTGTACCCCTTGCTCTGCACTCACATTCTCTCTGAAGCTGCTCCTAGTTTTCCCATGATCTAACACTCTGATCCTAATATTCCATTTCTTGGTCTTTTCTGGAATATATTCTGGTTTTCTTGCCTTTAGATGTTTCCTAAATCTTATCTCCAATGCACTGCATACCCACAGTACATTCAAAACTTAACCCAGGAGGAATCTCTCATTATTTTGTTCATCCACCAATGGTTCTATATCCATCCACCACCCTATCCTCTTCTGTTTCCTCCTCTCCCTACGACTATTGGGAATCCCGGAGGGAGCAGTGAGAGGGCTCCCGAGAATGAAAAGGGTACCTACTGAAAGTTTATAGGCTAAAGACAGTGAGGCAGAGTGAGTGGCATTTGGGAGAAGAGGTGTCTTACGTGGCACTGACATCACGCACGTCCTGTAGGCGAGAGAAGAGCCACTGCTGGTCTTGGTTGGAAAGGATGGCCCGAAGCTGGGCTGAATGCTGGAAGTGATCCACAGCTATGTTCAGGCTGCGCAGGTAGGAAGCCTCTGACACAATCAGCTCAAATTTGGCCTAGGAGTTGGGTAGGAGGAAGATTAATGTATAACACATTTTGAGTCCCTACTGTCTGTTTTAGAGATAGAGTGGTGAACAAGACAGATGCTTTTGTCACTCACCATCACAGTGAAAACTAACATGGTATCAGGGAGAGGGAAGGTGCTTCCAAGCCAATGGGAGAACATGTGAAGGCCCCAGAGGTGTAATAAAGATGCTTTCCAGAAACTTACACTGAACGTTTACAGAAACATGTACTACAGTAGGGGCAGGAGAGGAAGCCAGAGACAAGCATGGCAGTCGGAAGGGTTAAGTGAACAAGGGAAATGAGTTAGGTAGGCTTCATACAATGGACAAACAAAAAGAGACAAAAAGAGGCTCTCTGTAGGGGAATAACCTTACCATCAATGTGTTCCTAAGCACAGAGTGGAGAAAAGATTAGAAGGAGCAAGAAAGCCATGTTAGGAAACTGCCATAGTAAGTCCAGGTGAGAGATGAAGGCCTAAGTAGCCATGGGAATGGGAAGAGGCCTGTTTCATGACTATTCAGGAGGGACACAGGGAAGGACCTAGTTATTTGCTAGAAATTGACTCTAAAAGAGCAGGAAGAGCCCCAGCTAATGCCTCAGTTTTTGAGTTGGGTAACTGGGAGAATGAGTCAGAGAACTCAGAGATTCATTTGTGTCTGTCTTGGCCCTGACATTCTGACTATGTGGCTCATTTGATCTCTGTGAACCTGTTTTCTTGCCTTTTGGGGCAGGAACAGTGACCTCACCTCACAAACATGTGACAGTCAAAAGAAATAGAGTCAGTGAAAACATCTTATAGACCCTAGAAGTGCTATTTTATGAAAGAAATATGTGCTTATAAATGCAGAGGCCTGTTTTCTCAGGAGCCAATGGATGTGTGAGGATGCTGGAGATGTTGAAAGGGAACTGGGTTCGAACCAGCTCCCAGGGTCCGATTCACAAACATGGGGCAAAGAAGTGATTTTCTAAATATCTTCCAGGTAGTTTGGAAGTTGAGGTCAAAACAGGGTCCCCCAAGTCTGAGCTTCAAAAATCCTAAAATTTATATCTGTCTGGTTGACTTGGTAAAAGCATTGTTTATCTGTAAGTCCTTCTGGCCCAAATGTTTCTCCTTCCCACTTCTGAAAGGGGTGAGTATTCCACTAATACATATCAAACAATGTGCCACATACTCTGTTTAAAGCTAGATATGTGTCATTTCACTTAAATCGTGTGGCAACCCTGAAAAGTAGGTATTCATTATCTTTAATTTTCAGACAAGGAAACTGGGACTGAGTAGTTATATAATTTGCCTGAGGTGACACAGCTAGTAAATAGCAAGGCAAGGCTTTAAACCTGAGTTGGCCTAACTTGAAATTAAAGTCATGAACATGTTTTGAATGGTTACTATATATTAGAAACTTACTTTTTTTTTTTTTTTTAACTCTCTCAGTACCTCTTTGCAATGCAATTTTACAAACGAGAAAACAGAAGTTTTTTTTTTTTTTAAAAAAAGCAAGTAATTTGGCCAGAGTTAAATAACTGGCAAATATTAAAGTGGGCTTCCAGGTCACTTATTCTGAAATCTTAATACTTAGACATTATTCCAGGAAACCTTTTCATTGTACTATACTATCTTCCTGGGAAGAAAGGTTTATCCCAGACTGGTTGTCAGTGAAGCTCTCCAGATAAAACACATTCATGGTAATAACATCAGACACACAGCCTCTACTACAGTCTTGCTATTCAGGTTAAGGACCAAGCAGAGACTGATGGTCATTCAAAAGCCTCTATGAGTCCAATGGACCATAGGACAACCACAAGGGGCACTCAGCCTTCAAGGGACACAACAGAAAGCCCCTGGTGTGACTTGGTTGAAGTAACAATCTTTAGCGGAGCTTGAAACCATGGTTCAAGATGGAAATTTCAGTCTAGTCTGAAGCACTAGCGATGGGATTAATTCTACACATGGCCACTTTGTATGAGCCTGACCCAGTACCAGGTATCAGTAAATGGCCATGGCAGAAGGAGGTGGAGAGGCAGGTGGGTGTTGTCTGAAGAGAGAGCAATTGAAGTCCATTGGAGTGGAGATGGCTGACAGTGGGATGCGTGAGTGTGTGGTGATGGTGGAGGTGGTGGTGATGGTGGTGGAGGTGGTGGTGGAGGTGGTAGTGATGAGGAGATGAGGATGTGAGCCTCCCCTCCTGCATCCCTCTCCCTGCCCCCACCCTGCCCTGTTGGGTACCTCTTGAAGTTTTTGGTCTTCGTGGGTCATGGAGAGCAGCACAGTGCTATTGCGCACCACAGGGATCTCCTGCCAGAGGGAGCTCCTGGAGGCCATGGATAGGCGCTGCAGGTAAGACTCTGAGGACACCAGGACCTTTCGGGGCTGCCGGGGGGAGGGGGGCCCAGAGGCCTCTGCCAAGCTGTCCGGCCGCTGCTGGCTCTGAATCTCCTTGTTCAGAACCACATCGCTGTACTCCTGGTAAAGCAGCTGGGCTGTGGGGGTGAATCGGTGTGGGAGTGGGAGAGAATTAGGGAGACAGGGCAATTAGGCACAGAGATAGACAGAAGCCACCAGACGTGCTCTGGCTCTCCTGACAGTTTTCTCTTCCTGTAGGTGTCCACCCCCTGCTGGCAGCCATAAGCCCATCCCCAGTCTTGGGCACAACACCTATGTGCATCCATAGTTCTGTTTCTATATACTCACAGGAGTTGATGAGCTTTGAGCAGCGTCTTGAAAAGCCTCCCATCACCTCCTTTGGCTTTTTCTCCCTGTGGAGCAAAGAAGGGCTCTGAGATGCTTGCTGGCCCTTGGATACCGAGGAGCCCCAGGGGACTATAGACAGGGTAGTCTCTAACCTCTAACCTCTGGGACAGGTGCTGGGATGTCAGGGCCAAGTCCCCTGGCCCACTATGGGATATTTAGAGCTTTCTTGAATGTCATGTTGAATTTTTACAGGGGTTTTAGCTCATGGCCAAAGGGCCTAGGAGGATGGAAAATTAAGACTTAGGTAACAAAATCAGGTAGATCAAAGGGCTCTCTACTCTAGTATCCTGGTGTCTGTCTCTTCTTCTACTTCCCTTTGGGAGAGACAGGGTCCCAGAACCCGTGTCAACTAACAAAAATCTCAGTATCCTAAGAAAAGAGAGTATAATTGTGCTTGTTGGGAGAGAGGATGACTCACCGAAAAACAATGGTGTCTGAAGGGCCAGGAGGCTTTTCTGTGGTGGGGCCTCTTGTATCTGAAAAGGGAAATGGATGAAGTAACTGTTCACAGGAACATTCAGAGATAGCCGAAGAAGGTAAGATGTAGAGTAAGAGATGTAGGCACGTGGGGAGGGGGGAAAAGGCTCATCTGGGAATCTGTGAGGAAGTGCCAAAGTAGAAAGCATCTGATGACTCTACTGGGAGGTATGAACACATCCCTCATGTCAGAATGTAAAATGGACAAGGAGAGGATGTCTTCTCTACTACGAGGAAGCATCAAGAGGTGCTGGTAAATAGAAAAGGGAGGTGTGTTTGGGGGTGGAGGAGAGTGTCCAGAAAAACCTTAGGAAAAGTGATACACAATTTAAAAACACCATGGTTGGATGACAGATGGAGATGCAGGGAAGGAAAAGGAAGAGCATCACAGTGAGCTCAGAGGCTTCTAAGGGCTTCCCTCTGTATTGGGGTTGTATATGTATATGTGGGTGATTGAAGCCAGCAGGGGGAGTAGGAGGAGTCCTGGAACAGAAGATGGATGAGATGGTAAGATCTACAGAAAGTGTGGTCTGATGAGTGCTCTTTGCTCACCTGAAGAGCCGTCAGGTAAGATGGAAGGTCTGCGCAGACCTTGCCGATGCCAGCCCTTGTGCTTACTGGAGCCCTCACCAGAGATGGCAGCCTGTCCAGCACTGTCCTGCGGTGGTCTCCCTGGGTCCCGCCTGTGGGGCCAGCTGGATGCCTTCTCCAGGTGGGGATGGCTGGGTTTTTCAGTCTGCTTTGTTCGACCTACAGCCGACCTCCTCAGGCCATTGGCTCCTTCCTGAGGGTCCATTCTTCTCAAAGATCTCTTGGCAGAGGCCTCTGACTCTTCTGAGTGCCCTGGTTCAGAGATGGGTTCCTGGAGACCCACAGTCCAGGGCGAGGTTGGGGAAGAGGGACTTGGAAGGCTTGTCATGTTGCTGAAAGCAATGTCAGGGGATATTTCACTCTTTCTCCTACTGGTGGAAGCCAAAGAGTCTGTTGATCTGCCCATGGCTGGGGGCCAAGAGGTACGTCCTCCAGAGTGGGAACTAGATGCTGCCCACTCTTGACCAACAGGCCTTGGCTTGGCTTGACCCCCTGAATTCGTGAGTGCTCCCTGAATGCTCTTGTTCCTCCCTCTGGCCTTCGGGGGTAATGGTGGTGGTTCGTTGAGGGGATTTATGACAGGAACAGGGGGTAGAGGCCTGTAGATCCTTGTGCTATTATGAGAAACGGGAGAATGCTGGGGCTGAAACAAATCAGGAGTTGGGGGTAATGGCTTGTTGTATCTCAACCTTTGGGAGAAAGAAGTCTGACTATGGTGGGAGTCGTCTGGAGTAGAGGGCAGAGGTCGGTATTGCCTTGCCACATGGGGGTCAGGAATTTCAGGAAGTGGAACTTTGGGGGGGCCACATAGCCCTGAACTTAGGGCCAATGGAGGGTAGCTACAGTGCCTCAGCGTGGGGACCGCTGCACTGAGATGGCTGTCTCTCTCCACCGCAGAAGGGTGGACGTGCCTCTTCTTTGGAGGAGCAGGAGGTGGAGGTTCATTCAGCCTTGTATCTACGAAGACAGGAGGCGGTGAAGAGCCATACACAGGAGACCCTTGGGCGAAGGCTGAATTATGTGGGGAGCCCCATGGCTGGCTGCTGTGGGGACTGCCGGGCCTGTGTGGATCAGAGGTGAAGTCTCCAGAGTCGTGCCCCAGAGTGGACAATGAACTAGGGAATTCTGGAATAACGTTGAAGTCCCTACTGCTTTTCCTGTCCCTTCTTGGGATCACAGAGACATGGATGGCATGTTTGGGAGGTCTCTGAGGCAACTCAGAATGAGAGAAGGAAAGTGATCGTCCCACCAGGTCCGGGGTCAGCTGTGTCCTGTGAGAGCCCGGGAAGGAGTTGCTCAATAGGTGCTGACTGGCCCCTGTGAAGTCAGCGAGGGGGCTTTGTGGACTGGCCCCGTTGGAGCTGCCATGTGGGTCCATGGTAGCCTCAGCAGAGGGGGAGCCGGGGAGGGCCGCCGGGAGAGTCTCAGAAGCCCCACAGGAAGATGGGATGTCGGTGGGGAAAGAGGCCCTGGAGGTTTCTGGAGAATATGCATCCAGAGAGACTTTTGTCCTAGGGATGGCAATCGGGGGGCTGGCAGCCGGCAAGGTGGCTCTGCTGGAGGAGACTTTGGCAGATGTGGAGGGAGCTGAATCTGGTGAGTTTGGAGATGTCTCAGGTGCACTGGCTGAGGCCACCCGGGGCCTCCCACTGGATGCTGCCCCTGTCCCCAGCTGGGAACCCTCTGGCTGAGGGTCCTGAGCTATTTCTTGAGCTCGTGACCCCCCATCAGGAAAGAAGCTAGGTGAAGGACTGGACTGACAGGAACCTACTATAGGCTCCAGGGAAGGAGTCTGAGCTATGGGACAAAGCTCCTCAGCCCTCAACTCTGCCTGAGAACCAGGAATCCTGGCATTACAAGCATCTGGTAACAAGTCACAGGAAGAATAAACCTTGGGGGCCAGTATGGGAAGACCATCATGCTCTTCCCCCTCCTCTGAAATCCTCTCTCCTCCCACTCTCCCCAATGCAGCCCCATCCCAATCTTCTGCCTCCTCCTCCAGCTTTAGTGTCCCTGGCAGCCCTTGACGTTCTTGCCTTCCAGGTACGTTCACTGACCTCCTGGCTAAGCTTTGATACTCCTGACACTGAGCACCCACCCTACTCTCCTCAGGCCCCCTCACCTCCCTCTTCTTCTGTTCACCCACTTCCAGATCTTCCTGGCCCCGAGTCCTTCCCTCCCACTCATCACAATTTACACCTCCCAATTCCTCATTAGGCCCCTCCCTTTCTCCTTGTTTTGCAAGCACCATATCATCTTGCATCTGTCCTCCCTGTGTACCATTAACCTGCTCCCCTATCCATTCCCGCTCCCTTAGAAGCCCCTCAGAACACACAGCCTCCCTCTCTTCTTGTCCCTGCACCTCCTGACCCTTGGCCTTCTGGGGACACACAAGCCTTTCTTTCCCTGGACTTTCCTGCAGCTCTTGGCCCTGCCTGGCAGCCCCACTTTCAGACTCCTGCAGCAAGTCGGTCTCTACAAGGTGCTCTTCACAGGAAGATGAACATCTGGCCCGAGCAGAAGCATCTGGAGAAGCTTCTTCTTTCTCTGCTGCTTGTCCAGTCCCCAACATCAAAGAAGGGAATTCTGGTCTGAATTCCACCTCCAATCTGCTGCGCAGTTCGCTGCATAGTGGGGCCATGTCCAGAAGTTTACCCTGGACAGGGCAGGCCCAGCGCTCTGGAGGAGCTGGCGTCCTTGCCTGTCTGTCTGCCAGGCTCCTGGGCACTGCCTCCTGGCAGTCTGGGGTGTCCCAGGCCTCGGCCATAAGGTTTTCCTGTTTGGTCTCCACATCCGAAGGGGCTTCCTTGGGGAAAGATGTCATACTCTCAGCTGCACAGTCATTCACATCTCTTTCATCTCTCTGCTGGGTCTCCCAGAGCCTGCGTTCCTCTGTCCACTTACAGGATGGGTCCCGGCCTTCCTGAGCTTCGGGCCCCACGGCAAGCGGCTGGCTGCTTCTCATAAGAGCTTCAGGGATATCACTGAATTCTGCCACAGGAATGGGACCCGGTGCTCCACTCCGGGGCTCCGCAGCCTCCATCGGGGCTGAATCCTAAAGAGGAATAAAAGACAAAGATTCTATCACCTCTTCTGCTTTTACCTATCAGAGGGCTGGACTATGAAGAACAAGAGTGGGACATTTCTTTGGTTCTCCATGGACTCATTCTTTGAGACAAAATGTACTTAATAAAATAAGCAATAGCCTCTATAAAACTTGTCACTTATTTGCTCATTTAATAAGTACTTAGCAAGTGACCCTTTCAAGGAGGCGGGGGGAGGGGCATTTAGTAGAGAAGGAGATATGTCCTCATGGAGCCTGCAGTCTTGTGGGAGAGAAAGATAGTAAGTGAATTAGAGCTTCATTGACAGAGTGCCAAGTTCCCTACTGGTCATTCCTCCTAGGTGGTATTATGTCATATTGTTTCTCCCTGTCTACTCTCTGGACATCAAGAGTGACTCAGTCCTATGTAACTCCCAGACACTGAGTGACACACCCAAGGTCTAACTGCACACTAGGCAGTGTTTCAGGGGGACCTTCCTCATCTGCTGATGGGGATTAAAATAAGTCTGGTCATTATAACCCATGTTTAAGGCAAAGTGTAGTATAATTGCCTTTATACAGGGTCTGTGCTCATCTCATTTTTCATAGTGTCAAGCACAGCCCTGTAACTAATTAACAATTTTGTTTTCAATGAGAGAGGCAGCTGTCATAAGGCAGAATGACTTGTTAGATTAGAACTGAAGGGATACCGAGGTTACCTGCTTCAAGTAGGTTCATAAAACTGTGTTACTCTCATTATCTTACTCTTTCTCTCCAACAACCTTGTGAACTCTTCTCATGACTTGTCAAAATTTTGACCTTCCCACCCCTGCTCTCACTTCAGCAAATTCTTTGCAAAATATTGAGAAACCAAAGGAAAGGAACTGCTCCAGTTTCTTTCAATTCAGAGACCTGGGTTTTGCCCTCTCCAACTTTTCTCCTCTGACAGGGCGGGCACCACCTTCAAAGCACCACCTTCTTCAGACTTCCTTCTCAGGGATTCTATGTTATGGGTGACTTTCCTCTCACCATCATCTCTGCTAGAATCATCCCGCCAGCATTTATGCATGTCCATGCCTTTCGCATCTTTCTAACCTGTAAAGAGAGTTGCTCATACCTGCTATCCTCACAGCCTCACATCTCGACTGCATTTCCTACAATCTTTTAGTTGTAAACTCCAAAGGAGACTCTATGAATGCTTATTTTGGAGGTTCCTGTCAGTATTTATAATACACTACCGACATTAGAAATACTCTCTTTCTTGTTATCTATGAGCCTACAACTTACCGATTTAACCTCTTACGTTTTCCCCAATCCCCTAACTATGTTACTGTGCTCCTCTTTGTAGCACTTATCAATTATAGTGCACTTTTCTTCTCCTCTGTAGCATTTACACAATTATGATTATTATATAATTACTAGAGGCCTGGTGCATGAGTTTGTGCACCAGTGGGGTCTCTCAACCTGGCCTGCAGGATCAGGCCGAAACTGGCTCTCTGACCTCCCCCTAGAGGTCCCAGATTGCTAGATGGCTCAAGCCAGGCCAAGGGACCCCTCCGGTGCATGACTGGGGCCAGGGAGGGACGTGGGAGGTTGGCCAACCAGGGAGGGACCCTGGGTGGGCTCCATGGCGTGTCCAGCCCATCTTGCTCATTCCTGATCTGCGGGACCACAGCAGCAAGCTAACCTCCGGTCGGAGTGTCTGCCCCTTGGTGGTCAGTGCACATCATAGAGGTTGAGTAACCTCAGCATGTCATTAACATATTACACTTTGATGGGTTGAATGGCTGACAGGACATTTAGCATATTGGGCTTTTATTATATAGGATGTGTGTATTCTGATTTATCATCTATCTCAAACAATAGGTGGTAAATGGCCTGAGATCAAGAACTACATCTGTCCTGCTCAAATACCTATACATAGCTCAGTACCTGGCCTGTACTAAGTGCACAATAAATATTTTTTAATTACAGAATAAATTCTTGTTTCTCTCTTGGCCTACATTACCCATATCTAATCTAGCCATCAAGTCCTATTAACCCCAGCTTCTCAGTAACCTTCAAGTCTGTTCTCTTCTCTCTCACTACTAGACCCTGCGTAGGCCGCTGTCCTCTCACTCAGACCACTGCACTTGGGACAGAGCCTGGCCACCGGCCTCCACACAGCTTCTCTTGCCCTTTTTCCAAGGCATTTTCTACCCAGCACTTGAGTGAGTCAAAAGCCCCGCTTCGAGTTTAAATTCTTCAATAGCCTCTAACTGCCAATGGGATGAAATACAAATACCTGGCATGGGTTATGTACCCGCCTCAGTCTGGCCTCTTCCTGCCTCCCCCCTCTCTTCACGCCACACCCCACTGGCCTTCATCCCTCTGGCTCACCTCCCTCTCTCCTGTAGGCCTTCAGTGCTGCTCCTCGGCCTGGAATCCTCTGCTCCTACCCAGAGAAGCCTCTACTCTCCCATACTCAACTGCACTTGGAGTTACATATTTAGTATCTGTTCTCATAAGGGCGCAAAAACTGCAATGTTAACTGCTCAGCCCCCTCTGCCTGAAGCTTAGTTGGCCCTCAACAAAGATTTATTGCGTGGATGAATGGAGGAAGGAAGAATGCAGAGGTAAAAGAGTGCTGTTCAATTTCCAGTTCTGCCTTTTTGTTATCTTGCTAATTTTAAAGCAATTGTGAAAGCCACTTAAACATCCATTTTCTTATCTTTATATAAGGGAGAGAAATTTTCTTTGCAAGGAATTCTAATGAAAATTAAGTAAAATGATATAAAAAGTGCACTGTTAAATGTAAGGGTCATAAAAATGTTAGGGCTTATAATTATGGTTGATGAGGGAATAAGTGTAAGAGAGAAATACAGGACTTATGAGCTGGAAAGACCTTCAGAGATAGTCAGAAAACTGCTTAAATTAAATGAGGAACCTAGAGGTTAGATAATCTAGTCATTTGCTCACATAAGCAATTGGTATAGGTCCGTGGTCGGCAAACTGCAGCTCGCGAGCCACATGCGGCTTTTTGGTCCCTTAAGTGTGGCTCTTCCACAAAATATCACGGCCTGGGCAAGTCTATTTTGAAGAAGTGGCATTAGAAGTTTAAGTTTAAAAATGTTGGCTCTCGCTGAAGCCAGTTTTGCTCAGTGGTAGAGCGTCGGTCTGCGGACTGAAGGGTCCCAGGTTCAATTCCGATCAAGGGCATGTACATTGGTTGCGGGCACATCCCCAGTAGGGAGTGTGCAAGAGGCAGCTGGTGGATGTTTCTCTCTCATCGACGTTTCTAGCTATCTATCACTCTCCCTTCTTCTCTGTAAAAAAAAAATCAATAAAATATATTTTTTTTAAAATGTTGGCTCTCAAAAAAAATTTCAATTGTTGTACTACTAATATTTGGCTCTGTTGACTAATGAGTTTGCTGACCACTGGTATAGGTGAACTCAAACTAAGGTCTTCTAACAACTAAACTATAAGCAACTAGAAGTTCAGGTGTAAGAAAGCTGGAAGGACTCCAGCCTGGAATGACGCCGGGGCCTATGGAACCCATAGGTACACCTGGACCTGCACCCTCCTTGTCTGGTCTGGGCTTAAAGTGAAGCCCACCACCCAAAATGTTCACTGTCCTGCTAACGTACTGCACTTAGGCAGATGCTTGCACAAGTACCCCTCCACATGCACGTACCTGCATGTGCACACACACACACACACACACACACACCAAATGAGCCACCCTTGCAGTTTCTACACAGTAGAGACTGAGATAACTAAACAAGCAGGTCCCCAAACACCCTGCAGGTGTGATAAGTATGTGACAAGTTCCTGGCCCTGGCCACCCCACAGACACAAATACCATCTATACAGGGCAAAGAGCCACCGTGTCTAACATAAGCATACTTGTGTAGAGGGCTTTTCCATCCTTTCCCAGTTAATTGACACAGTGTAAGATTTGCTCCCTATGTCTAGCCCTAAGGACAAAATACTATAATCACTATGGGTGATACTGTGATGTGACCCTATTCTCTCAACCACGTGTTAAATAATATACTTGCTCAGCATAAACACTTTATGAATCTTGGCTCCTGCCTGCCTAAGGGGACAGTATAACTAAATCTGTAGTCCCCCCTCACCCACAGCGTATTGTCCTGGCCCTATACCCATATACACTGCCATGTCCTCAAAACAAAACAAAGTCTCTAAAAACACGTGTGTTTCTGCTATATTTAGGTGCATCTGTAGGCACCAAGGGCTACCTGGGCATCTTCAGCCCCATACTAGTGACACAATGCACGTGTGCCTCCTGCAACCCCATTGACAGTATTTCTAACACCATCTATCCATTTGGAAATATTGGTGGTCACCAGCTCAGGCACCATACTTGATTCTGTCCTATTGTAATCCTATTTTAATCAGCACCACAAACCCACAACATGACAAAGGTCTAGGGAATCTGCACATAAGGACATCAGGAGAGAGTTTTTGCACTGCCCTTTGTTACAGTTGCCTCCTCACCACCTTCTCTATGGGGGCAACGCTCAGTAACTGAGCACAGACAGATAGAGCATGGCACCTTCCAGACCAGACACATGTTGCATCTGCTGACCCCGTCCCACCTATGACTTCTTTCAAGACAAATCTGCAAGTCACCCCATTAACACAGTATATGACAGAACTCAGGATCTCCCTTGGAGCCCCAAACACCTTAGCTCTTGTCCATTTCTAGTCTGCAGACATACTGTTTCAAAGACAGCCCCCTCACCACTACCCACCTCCATCACACTGCTGCTTCTCCTTCCAACCCATGCTGCCTGCTATGTGTACTTCTAAGTATCTGCTTCCTGGATTTTCTAGCAATGGCAGTTTCAAATATTCGGATCCACACCACAAGTCACTAAAACACTTGAGACTGCAGCACTTCTGCATTCATACTACATCGTCTACACTAGGGGTGTCGAACTCAATCAGAGAAGGGGTCAAAATCTAAAATCCAGCCTAAATCGCGGGCCGAATGGTTTACTAAACAGTCATAAACTGTCATTGTGATGGAAACGCAGCGGAGTGCAGTGATGACAGCGCAGTGCGGGCCACATTGCAAGGCCTGGCGGGACGGATTTGGCCCTTGAGCCTTGTGTTTGACACATGTGGTCTACACTACTGCTTATCATAGGAAAATACCCCCAAATCACTTTCGGTTTTTTGTGTTTTTTAATAAACTAGACTCCCACGTACATGGTTGCCTTTATCAGTGTTTGACATTAATGCCCCCAACACTACACAGATATAAAAATGAGAGTTGCAATCTGGATCACTAACTGCAAAGACCTGTGCTCTACTCACTTTAGAAAAGCCCCACCACCCCAGTGAAGACTATAGTAACCGTCTCTTATCTATTCTTAATGTCTGAGAATACCACAGCCTCCACTGCCCTGCAGACCACATGGCCCGCACAGAACATCAACAGTAGCAATGCTGACAGGCCCCACAAGCCCACTGTGTCTCCCCTTCCCACCCCCTCCGCCATCCACACAGATTATGTGTGAGTGACCTCTTTGTGCCCTTAGCAGAGCCCCTGAAGGGTGACCTTGTTCTTGCTCACCACCAGCTCCTGTTCACTTCACACAGTGAGTGATTTACCCTGTCTACCCAAATGCTGTCAGCTACCTGACACTTGAGTAACACTCACTGCTCTTGTTCAATCCATGGCCCTGTGAGTGGCCCCTTTCTTGTCCACACCTCAGTGACTGACCACTCCAGACACCACAAATGACATCTTCTTGTCTATCCCACAGACACCGTGCTTGATGTGGCCACAGACAGACCACACTGTGGTCAGCCATATACTCTTGGGACCCCTAGGACATGAAGACTCTTGACTGTTTTGAATCACTGTTTTCTTTTGGTGAGACGGATACCTTTGCACACCTCCTGACCTCTTTCTCTTTCCTACCAGGATAATGACATACATTCCTCCTGCCAGACAGTCTCACTCAAAATTGACACCTACGTCCTTCCTCCTCCCAGCCCCACCCCCAAAGAATCCCCTCAGTAGACATGGTTTCAGTTTCAGGCCCACAGACTGGTTATCAAATGATTCCCATTTTGCTAGGATTTAGGTCAGTCTCTTCTTCACACTCTGGTGTAGCTAAAACAGGAAGTTGAAAGGCCACATCGGGAGCTGTTGAGCTAGAAGCTGGGATTTCTGGAGTAGGCCAAGGATGCAGAGCCTTAGAATGACATGGGAGAAGCAAAAGAGGGAAGGAGCTAGAAAAGAAAGCCACCCGCTCTCCCTCACCTGTCTGACACACCCCTCTTCCCTCAATCTGACGAGAGTCCTGGCCAGAGTTCACTTTGGTAGACAGAAGGGCAAACTTGTCTTGGGAACCCAAGCTCCAGGAAGGGGAGAAGGGACTGACATCTGAACTAGCTCTGGCCAAGCTGAACTGGCATCAGGACTAGCTCTCTAAGGACAGTCGATTTTAAATGATGCTCAGAAGGAGAGCCCCAAGCCCAACTATACACAGCTTCTCTGCCCACCTCCCCAAGTTGAGAATGCAAATTGTGCTTGACAGGAAACTTCGGAGGGACTCCCCAGATACGGGGAACCAGAGAAGGGGGCCAGGGCAGGACACGTTTTTACAGGTGAAAGCACCTTGGCCAGCAAGGGAAAGGCAAGTACGGAGACATCCACAGTGAGCGAATCCCTGGGAGGGTGAGCGAAGGAAGGCCCAGGCCTAGTTAAGAAAAAGGAGACAATGAGATATCCACAGGTGGGGAATACGCTCCACACACCGAGTCTCAGCTATCCCTTATTATAGGGTCAGCTTTCCGCAGGGCCAAAACTTGGAAGAGTCCTACTATTGGCCCGGAGAACATCTGGGGGCAGGGTGCCCAGTTCCCAGGAAGGGGCCAGGCCGGAAGCGAATTTTTCAGGCAAGAGCATTTCCTCCAGCTTCCCTCCCCTTCCTGACCAAGATACTCAGTCACACGCCCCAAACTCTGCCCATCTGCCCAGCCCCCCATTTCCGGAGCCTGCGCCCTGGGACCGGGCTGGGGCTGGCCCCGGGGTAAAGGCCTAGTTTCCCCGTCCTGGCCGACCCTCCCTTACCTCCGCCGGGACCCCACGGCCGCCAGCCCAGAGCCGGGAGCCGCGAGGGCGGCGGGCACCCACCTGGGCAGTGTCACATGCTGTCCCGGCACCAGAGTCCCTCCGGGTCCCAGGCGCCGGCCGGCCGTCCCCAGCGCAGGCCCTGGACGCCACCGCCGCCCCACCCGCGCCCGCGCCCGCCCCTCCCGCCGGCCGGAGGGAGGGACCTGGTTCTCCTAGGAAGTTTCAGGTGAGGAAACCAGGGACACACCTTCCTGGGGGAGGGGCAGGGCCCGGCGGCTCCGCGGCCCCATTGGTGTGAAAGAATCTCCCGCGTCACCGCTGGGCAGTGGCGAGCTGGAGGGGAGCCCGGCGCCCAGGGCTGGCGGCGGGGCCGGGGACAGCGGCCGGCACGAGTGGCCGGAGGCGGGGGGGCGGGGGGGGGGAGCGCTCTTGTGCCCTTGTATGTCTCTGAAATCTGCTTGGATGGCTCTCCCCGCTGCCTTTCTCCACTGGAGCCTGACTCTGGACCATGCCGGTCCGCCTTTTGTTAGCCTATCTGTCCCTGAACGCCTGAGTTTCTCTGTTAACTTTTCTGAGTTAACATTCGGGCTCAATGTTAATTCTCTTCCTGGTGTCTCCCTGCGACTCCCTATAAGACGAAGGGTGTATCCTGAGTTTTCTCCCTCCCCCTCTCCGTCTCCCTAAGAGGCCATCGCTCAGGGCATAGGAATGAACATCTCTGAAGCCCCATGCCCCAGCCTCTGGTCTAGGTGTTATCTGAGTTCACTTAGGATGATGATCCATCTCAGGGTGTGTTTTCCTTCTGTGCTCTTCCCAGGACCTCCGTGTTTGTGTGTGTTTGTACTGAAGTATGGAAGCCCTTCTCTTGGGCCTGCCTGTGGGTTTGTTTTTTTTTTTCACGGCTGTATTTTTCCCCAATTCTTTCAGGGAAAGCTTGTGTTCTGTTGGTCTGAGTCCAGGCTGAGTGGGTCTATTTTTAATGCATTTCCATAAACTTCAAAGAATGCCAGAATTTTCTGTGGTAGACACACACACACACACCCCTAAGGGACCAAGATTCTTGGTATTTTAGTCTGACTATCCCCAACCCTCTTCCCCACCCCTCCCAGAGGTTCCATCCTGATTGATATAAGTCAAGTGGAATCTTAATAGGCTCCCTGGTTATTTTGTTCCTGGGAATGCCACCATCTATGGGCCCAAACAGCTAGTGGGTTAGACCACTGGCTGCCGCATTGAACCTCTGACCATGACTACTACAATGTTGAAGGGGACTTTAGGAAAGAATGTAATTAAGATAGAATAGCATCTTCTCCAACGAAGTCCTGAAACATCTCTAAGTTCAAAGAATGTGCTGCTTTGGCCATTCTGCTCTGAGGGGCAGCCCTGAAGAGTTCAGCAGCCTTCAGCTTACCCTGCGCTGCCATGTAGGTGTGGGAAGCAATGAGAGGAAACTGGGACCAGTTCAGGTATGTAAGGACAGGCCTAGCAAATGCCATAAGCTCAGCAAGAGGATAAAAGTGGCAAGTGCAGTAAATAAAAAAGTTCATTGAGGCATTACTTACAGTAGCCAAGATATGGAAGTAAGGTAGGTGTCAACTGGTAGATGAATTGATAAAGATTACACACACACACACACACACACACACAGGAATATTACTACAGCCTTACAAAGATTGAAATCTTGCCACATGAGATAGCATGGATGGACTTGGCCAGTATTATGCTAAATGAAATAAGTCAAACAGAGAAAGAAAATTACTGTATGGTTTCACTTATATGTGGAATCTAAAAAAACAAAGCAAATGAATAAAACAAAACATAAAAACCCAGACTCATAGCAACAGAGACCAAAGGAATGGTTATCAGAGAGGAGGGGCTGGTGGCGGTGAGGGAGTGAGTGAAAAAGTTTAAGCTGAATATAATTGATAATAGTGTGATAAGTTTGCACAATGACTGATGACTGTTAGAAGTAGTGTGGTGATCACATTGTAAGAATCATTATATTGTATATCTGAAACTCATATACTGTATGCAAACTACAGTTAAATAAAAAATAAAAAGTTAAGCTAGAGCTGTCTTTATTTCTAGGCTGGGAGAGCACACTTAGTCCAGGGTATGAGTGAGCAAAATGAGTGAGCTCCTGATCCTTGGGTGGAAGGTGCTGATCACTGCCATTCCATGCTGCCTCCTGAGAGTGGCCACATGGTCAGAGGCACTGGACTGCCTCCCGCCAGCCTGGCTATTCTTCCTGCTCCACTCTGGCTTCTGTGTTCTCCTGGATTACAGCTCTCTGTCCTTTGTTTCCTCACTCAGGTCTCATAGACTTGACCTCTTCTTGTTCTGACAGCTCTGACCTTTCAGCACTTTTGGTTTTTTAAGTTACCAACCTGATCCAATGACCACTGAGCTCTTTTCCAGAGAGCTAAGTACACAAGGCTAGACCTGACTTTTCAAGTAGCAGTGAGATGTGGGGAAGTTAAAACTTATCAGTTAGGGAGTTAGCTCTTCCCATGGAGCATCCCTGTCTGCAGGGTGTGTGTATCTTGGGGACCCACCGAGCTCTTCACCTTGCAAACTATTATGATTTCCTCTTTTTCCTTCCTTGATACTTGCTCTTGGTGCCTGGACTGCTTAATCAAGATGTTTCCCTATCCTACTATTTTTTAAAATATATATTTTTATTGATTTCAGAGAGGAAAAGTGAGGGAGAGAGAGACAGAAACATTAATGATGAGAGAGAATCATTGATTTGCTGCCTTCTGCTTGCCTCCTACTGGGGATCTAGCCTGCAACCTGGGCATGTGCCCTAGACCAGAACCAAACTTGGGACCTTTCAGTCCACAAACCAATGCTCTATCCCAAACTGGCTAGGGCTCCCTATCCTCCTATTTTGATAAAGGATTTACAGCGACCTTTTACAAGTCACTCATCCAAGTGATCCCTGGGGCTGTCACTGCCTGACCAGATATCCTACTGGGGACACCACCCTTGTTATTGGTGGTGTGGTCTCCCACTTGGGTACCTCTAACTCTCAGTGCTAGTTTTTTGAAAACTGCTCTGACCTTTCTGACTGCCTTGTGCTTGATCCCATGATCTACCTTTGAACCTTTTGAACTGAATTCAGATCTTAACTTGGCTGATCTTGGTCTCTCCATCTCTCTCTTTAAGCCTACCCTGCTATGCTTCATAGCTACCCAGTTCCATTCTGATGAACATATTTTTTTCTTTTCTCATCCTTTGCAATAGCCTAAATTTAGTGCTATTCAAGGTATAAATACTATTTGCCTCATTCACTGTCTTATTTATTTACTCAATATGCATTTTTAGAAACCAGAAATCGAAGACCAAGTCCCTGCCCCCAAGGAACAGAAGAAAGACACAAGAAGCACCCAGTGAAAGCAGAGGGTGGTAAGGGCTATGTTGATATCTACACATAGTGCAATGGTAGCATAAAGGAGAGAGCACTACTTGGGGAATAAGAAAAGGGTTAAAAGACATGAGGAAGGTTGAGCTGGCTTGTCTTAAAAAAGTATCTGCCACTTGGTGGAGAGGATAATACCAACCTTGGAAATGGGACACATTTTATTCAGGGAAGAGCAAATAGTGTGGGCTTAACACGAGGTAGGTGAAGACATGACGGAGAAGAAAAATAAAAAAAATAGCAACTGTGTAAAGTGAGGGGTATGCTAATTAGTTCAATTGTGATCATTTCACAACATATATGAAAATCAAAATATCAAGTTGTATACCTTACATATACACAATTTTTGTTAATTATAAAATGGGAGGAAATCCTTAGAGGAAGTATAAAGTCCAAATTCAGTAGCATGCATGGCCTACAAGCTTCTTCATGAAGCTGCATTGACTACACTCTCCCCAGCTTTGATTATTTTGAATGCAGAAATGATCTTGGTTCTTTTGAATTGTCCAAACACTGTTTTTCCCTTCAGTAGAAAGTTACTGGCTTTATCCCTAATTTTAGGTCCTTGATGTCTGTTTCTGGAAGTGTCTTGTTCCAGCAAGCACAGTCCCCAGTGACTGTCCTTAGGTACAAGTATCCCTTTCTCACTTTCATCCATATTATCCATTTTTCCAATTGCAGCCACAACTCCTGCACAGCAGGTTTCCTGTCCTACTCCTAATAGTGGGCCAGTGGGCCTTATTGTCACTGTGCTCCTGGGCTTCTGCTGGTCCTCATCTCCCTGTGGGAGCAGAGAGGTCCTAGTGACAAAAGATAGAGGAAGTGGCCAGCTTTGCTGTGTCACAGTTTTGATTGCCAAAGAATGAAAGACACAAAAATGGAGATAGGAATAAAGGTGAATAGGGATGGAGATGTCATTCACATTAGTAGAAATATCTTTCTGTTTCCATTATGATACACATATTCTTGTCTCCACAGCTCCCTCAAGTCAGGGGTACTGAAGACATTAAAGTCATAGAAGCAAATGTTAAAAAGAAAAGGAGAGTTAGGAGAACAGTTCAGTCCTACCCTTCTATAGATGATCAAACAGCTCCAGAGAGGATGTGACTTAAAAGATCATATTCCTTGCTCCTAGATAGTGGCCAACTGTGGTTAGCATCTTCCTAGTTACTCAGGCTACCAACCAAGGTTATTGAGCATTTACTTTAGATTGCCTGCATTTGTGATACCATTAATATGCATAAATTCAAGGTAGGATGCTCCTTGTTGTAGGTTATACAATGGCAGTTATGTATAAAATAAAGATTCTGTCCCCAAACAACTTGGAAAATGTAGATGGAAATGGTAAAATACTGTTCTAAAGCAATCTCTGAGAAGCCTAAAAAGAAGTAAAAATAATAATGCCAGGGAAATCCAAAGGAAAGTATGATTAATGTGGGCTAGAGTGGAAAGAAAGGCTTTATTGAGGGTTGAATCCTGAGTTGCCCCAGGTGGAAAGTGTGGGTGGGTGCAGGAGATACATTTCCATTATAGTTGGCACTCTGCGCCACGCCTTAGCATCCAGGTTCCATTCCTGACACACATATGTCTGACAGTGTAAGAGCAGCATTTTGGAAAAGGAGTGGGCTGAACGGTGGCCATGGAGCCTTGAGACATTAATTCGGGTATGTGTGGAGGTGGTGGGAGGCATTATTACCTGGAACAACCTTCTCCCTATTGGCCCAAATCAATCTCCACCAGAACACTTTTGCCCAGTGTGCTTTTTTGACGGATTAACAAAGATATATTTCTGATTCCCAATCAGA